TCCTGATTGTATTTTGGCGGGCAGTATGTTTCGTCCCCATTGTTTGTGTTTAATATTAATTTTCTACTATAATTAATAAGAATAATAAATTCATTAAGTTTAATCAATATATCATCATTTGGAATAAATATCTGTATCGATATATATAAATGTATTGTTTATCTGTGCTTTATGGGTTGCCTATGGTGTGGTACCAATAATGCGCGTATATATAGATTGTATGAAAAAGCGCGTGTCTGAGAAGGTTGGTGGGATAGACACATGGACGAACAGATATAGTCATCGAAAGACGAGTGACCGGCATCTTTGTGTGGTTCTTGCAAAATACTGGTTCCTTTTGTTAAACATTTTTTCGCTAGTGCTACAAATCGTGTATCAATGGATGTCCAGTGCTAGAATCATTAAAATAGACATTCGAGGAAATGGGAGCTGAAAGGTAGGCCTACCGCATCTACATCGGACGAGAACATCCAAGTCCACATCACGATACAGTCCACTCTGGTGAGTCTACTAATCTCCAACCTTCCCTCGTAATTCGATAGTTCGTTACGCAACAGTTAGAGTTTTCGCAGAAGAAGTAGGATTACCGCGAATGAGAGTTTGGAGAACTTTAAATAAGCGTGGATATAAACCTTACAAAATTCATATTAGTCAAACACTAAGACCGGGCGATGCTGAGAGACGATTACAATTTTGTAACTGGTTGCAAAATAGAATTAATGAAAATGACGACTTCCTAAATAAAACTATATGGACAGATGAATGCAGTTTTTCAACAGATGGACTATTTAATAGACATAACGAACACTATTGGTCAATAGAAAACCCAAGGCAGAATCAAGAAGTAAGACCTCAGGGACGACAATCATTTCACGTATGGGTCGGTATGTGGCACAATAAAATTATCGGCCCGTTTTTTCTTGAAGGAAACTTAAATTCCGATAGATATGCAGAATTAATAAGGACCAATATATTGAATTCCTTAATGGAAGAACCTTTGGAAGGATTACGTCAACTATGGTGGCAACAAGACGGTGCACCACCTCATAATGGGAGACGTGTTAAAAATTTATTAAACGAATTATTCCCTAATAAATGGATTGGAAACCAAGGTCCCGTACGTTGGCCAGCTAGAAGCCCCGACCTAAACCCTCTAGACTACTTTCTTTGGGGATTTCTCAAAAACCGTCTTTATCGAAACACGCCACAAAATCTTGAAGTTTTACGACAAGACCTATTAAGGGAGATCAGGGCTATCCCTGCAAGGACCATTCAGCGTGCCATCCATAAACTTCACAGACTAACACGAAAATGCATTCAAGCAGGTGGATTGCAATTTGAATATTTGCTTTAACCTTCATTGGGTATTCAATTTAATAGTTTTCGTTTGACTTTTTTTTGGAATAATTAAAACATCATGCCTATTGTCACACATTGTTTTATTTCAATTTTTAGGAGCTTCTAAGAGTTCTAAGGTACTAAAACCAATGATGTATCGTTCTTTTTCGAAAAAATCATTTTAACGATGTCCTGCCAAGATCTTACCAAAAATCTATTCTCTTTCTCTCTCTAACACAAGAGTTCTTATGGAAAATGCTATGAATATAAACTTTTTGAATAAGTGCGATACATCATTAGTTTTGGGACATTAGTAGCTTTTGAAATCCATAATAAAAAATCCAGGGCCGTATTTAAAAAAACAAACTTGATGATGGCAGCTCAAATACGAAACGTCTGTTTGAAAATCTGATAACACCATCTTGTAGAACAGAAAAAGTAGCAATGAGAATGTGTAATTTGTTTTGTTATATCTATTCAAACAGAGTCATAAAAAAATAAAAATGAAATCGCGAATATTCGGTTTTTTCCAAAAATCTTCGGAAGTATTCGGAATTTTCCAAATATCAAAGCGGCGTTTTGATGAGCACCAAATTGCGCAACTTTGCCTCCATTTAACCGACCTCGTATCTCTTCTAGTTTCCGAGATCCCAATGATGAGGCTCGAATTTGGGACACCCTGTACATGTTATCTTCTGAGACCTGGGGCCTTATTTTTGAATCGAGAGAACGATTCCCTCGAGGGAATGCTTGGTATAAAATGTTTACAATGTCACTTTCCACTGCTCTTTTTGGTGGATTATGAGAGAAGATGGACCAGAGTACCTGTTTCTCTCGCTATCTATGGAGAGAAACAGCGGGGAACGGAATAATTCGTTACTAAAGTGAGGGACACGCCCACTGTTCTCTCGGCGGACTAGTTCACTTGATTCAAAAATAAGGCTCCTGGAGGAAGGGCATCAGTGTCACAGCTTTCCAACGACCGACGAAAACGTATTTATCATTCTCAAGGCAAATTCGCGACGCATCCTTGTCAGAGTCCTAAGCGCCTGATTTTCGGGCTAAGGACCGACAAGCCATTTTATCGAAGATGATTCAACATCAAGAAAAGACTTTCCGTGATCGTGCTCAAAAAAACAGAGCTAGAACTCGAACTGGCAGTCCAACTCGCAGTCGAACTGTCGAACCCGCTTTCTTACGTCTTTTAAATAGTTGTCTATATTTTCGGAAACGTGACAGTAAGGAAATCAGGTCGATAGTCCAGGTTCGTTGAAGTCAATGTCACGCCTGTGTTTATGTTCAACTACTATGGAAAAAAGTTCGTTCACGATTCGAAAATTTTGGAATTGATAAACAAAGACGTGACCGTTCAATGACTTCGAACCCTTTATGAATTTAAATGAAATTAAGGAAAATAACCCTATTAATTTATCTAGTGAAATGATAGAAGGAATTATCTATACAATAATTGACCCACTCACCCTCCTTTTCAACTCATGTATAACGTCAGGATGTTTCCCAGACTGCTTTAAATACGCGAAATACAATTACCGTCCTATCTCAAATAATCCCAGTTCTGGGTAAGATTTTAGAAATACCAAAAAAAAAAAAAACTAGGGGCTCAAAGTCGGTCGACCATACTTCATATAATAGTAGTATATCATTTTACATATGTAACCGGTTTCGGCGCTACGGCCATCATCAGACAAATAATAAGTACCGAACAATACAATTTAGACAAACATCATTGGATAAGTAACAATCATGCCATGGGTTGAGACATGGGCAATAAGTTGATTGATTTAAATCTAATGAAGAGCCAGAAAAAACTCAAAGTTTTTTCTGGCTCTTCATTAGATTTAAATCAATCAACTTATTGCCCATGTCTCAACCCATGGCATGATTGTTACTTATCCAATGATGTTTGTCTAAATTGTATTGTTCGGTACTTATTATTTGTCTGATGATGGCCGTAGCGCCGAAACCGGTTACATATGTAAAATGATATACTACTATTATATGAAGTGTGGTCGACCGACTTTGAGCCCCTAGTTTTTTTTCTTCTTGAAAATACTGTGGACCACTTTGAGAAAATGGATGATTTTCATGATTTTAGAAAAAATTCTCAAGAACAGGTTCGTCCGTTATTTTGCATCAAATAATCTTTTCAGTAAGCAATAGTATGGTTTCAATTGATGCCATATTGAAGATTGTAGAGTACATAGTGGAGAGCCTTGAGAACGGAGAGCGCGTGACTCTTACACTGTGTGACCTTTCTAAGTCATTCGATGGTGTATCTCATGCTACCCTTCATGAAAAGCTTGAATACTATGGAGTTAGGGGGTTACCTCTGGAATTGTTTAAATCCTACTTAATGGACAGAACTCAATCGGTGTATGTGAACGATACATTTTCTAGCATCAGAAAGGTCAAACATGGTGTCCTCCAAGGATCTGTATTGGGGCCAATATTGTTTTTGATATATGTGAATGATTTTGGTAACTATATGTCTCCTGGTAAATGTGTTCTTGTCGCAGACGATACTTCCTTAGTGTCAACTAGTAGAGATATCGAGAATCTCTTGAACAATAAAGACAAAGCACTCAAACAGGCTTTGCGATGGTTCACAGCTAATCAATTGAAATTGAATGAAGAGAAGACAAAAGAAATTACTTTCTCTAAAAATAACACCACCGCCAATTATCAGAATGGAGAATTGCTTGGAATAATTCTGGATGGAAACCTATCCTGGTCAGACCATTGAAGAGTTAAATAGTAAACTTTCTAGGTGCATCTTTGCTTTCAGACAACTCAAAAGAATCTTGAACATCGATGCCCTGAAAAGTGCATACTTTGCCATGTTCCACTCAAAAATAAACTATGGTATAATTCTATGGGGTAACTCCTCTCATGCTATTAAAATTTTCAAGCAACAGAAAAAGGTAATCAGAATTATGATGAACGCAAAGTTCAGAGACCACTGTGAACCACTTTTCATAAAAATAGGTTTATTACCCTTACCATCCCTTTTCATATTGAACACTGTTCTTGAAATACACAAGAATGAATGGCTTTTCTCTAGGCATCTGGATGTCCACAATTATCACACAAGAAATGCAAAGCATCTCATTCAGCCAAGATACAGATTGACAAAGTCACAGAAAAACTCACTGAATTTGAAGCTCTACAATCATATACCAGATCAAATCAGTACTGAACTATGAATCGTTCAAGTTAAAAATTAAGTATTTCATGCTGTCTAAGTGTTTTTAAAGTGATGAGGAATATCTGAACACAGATTTCTCATGATTCATGGAGACATTTTCGTATCTTGCCAGAATGCTGTTAATTTTCATAGATACATATGTTTTTAATTGATTTATATTCATGTTGTATTTCTTAGGCTTATACAATTCTATGTTTTTTTTGTGTATGTTGGTCTGAATACCATCGATGTTATACGTTTTTAATTTTCAGCGGATTTCAATCATATTTTTAAATGTTTGTATTGATTCCTTTCAAAAACTTGACTTGCAGCAAACATGTCAATTGTAAAGTTGTCAAATAAATCTATCTATCTATCTATTCGTGACAATATCAGTGGGAAAATTCGGCATCGTACATAATATTCGTTAAATTGAAATGACAGTTCTAATTTCCAGGGAGACGTAGATAGCCGGATGATGTCCGCTCTGCTCACCGGCATCAACCGGGCGTACCCTTACGCCAAAATGGAGTACGACCAGGTGTCCCAGCACATCGACACCATCTACCGGCTGGTGCATCTGGCTAACTTCAATATCGGCCTGCACGCCCTCACGATACTCTATCAGGTGTCGGTTACGGCCAGCAACAAAATTGCAGACAGGTAATCAGTCAGTTCTTTTTTCACCACTAGCTATAGAATCTAAGATTATCTTTTATTTATCTATTTACGGGATACCCCCACTACTGAAAAAAATCACATTAATAATACATGAACATAAATAAATAAACTAATGCCTAAGACTACTCAGTTCTAATTTTATCTACTTAAACTGTACAAGCAAAAAAGAGAAAAATTTACAAATATACATACAGGTATTTACAGAATTATTTCCAACAAACAATGTGTGTACTGTGAACACCTACAATAATTGTTTCAGAGTATTTTTGATCATATCCAGCGATCCACCAAAGATTTCTAGATTATAATCAATAATATTTTTAAGACTTCGAGATATATACAGTGTGTCCCACTTCCATGCTCACCATGGGTATCTTTTTAACGGTGAGAGATACGAGGTCGGTTAAATAACACCAAATGTGGAGTTTGTCAGGGCCAACTATAATGTGAAATAAAAATTTGATAAAATCTATTCGTTTTTGTTTCATACGCAAAAAATAGATTTTGATCATTTTCATGTCTCCTTCGTAACTTCTTTATTTATAAAAATATTCAAATAGGAATTTCACATTCTCAAGGCAGTTTTTCAAAGTGATTTCGAAAAAAATATAAAATTTATACCAACTCTTCTAGAATTTGAGATATCAGCACCAACTTCAGTTTTTCAAATGTAGGTCATAGCTCACTATGACTTAGTTACAAATAACTTTTTTTTCTCTCTCAGATGATGTGTCGCAGTAATAGTTTTGTGTTGATAACAACGGAGTTATCGTCATTTATACAAAAACAAAAAACTATTTGGGAGCCGCCTGCTTGAATTTATGAATTTCAACGCAAAAATCATGATCTCCGACCTCAAAAACCCCCCACTTACCAATTTTGAACCGAATCGGACCAAATCTTGTCCGCCATCTTGGAGCAGCCATTTTTTTTTATTTCAACAAAAATTCCATAACTCCCATTACCTTGAAATTTGGCAGGTGTTCATAATTTCGGTGACAAAACATTATGGATTTTTTGTTGAAATTGAAAAAATGGCTGCTCCAAGATGGCGGACAAGATTTGGTCCGATTCTATTCAAAATTGGTGAATGGGGGTTTTTGAGGTCGGAGATCATGATTTTTTTGTTGAAATTTATAAATTCAAGATGGCGGCTTCCGAAAATTTTTTTGTTTTTGTATAAATGACGATAACTCCGTTGTTATCAACACAAAACTATTACTGCAACATATCATTTGTGAGAGAAAAAAAAATTATTTGTAACTAAGTCACAGTGAGCTATGACCTACATTTGAAAAACTAAAGTTGGTGCTGATATCTCAAATTCTAGAAGAGTATAAATTCCATATTTTTTTCGAAATCACTTTGAAAAACAGCCATGAGAATGTGAAATTCCTATTTGAATATTTTCATAAATAAAGAAGTTACGGAGGAGACATGAATATGATCAAAATCTGTTTTTTGCGTATAAAACAAAAACGAATATATTTCATCAAATTTTTGTTTCACATTATAGTTGGCCCTGACAAACTCCACATTTGGTGTCGTTTAACCGACCTCGTATCTCTCACCGTTAAAAAGATACCCATGGTGAGCATGGTAAGTGGGACACACTGTATATATATATGTGTGGCACAAAGATCTCAGCATCACAACAAACAAAATTTCTAGGTTTGGATGTAGACCATAAACTATCTTTTAACAGTCATGTTGACACAATCTGTAAAAAACTAAACAAATTATGCATTTAACACCTTGAAATCAAACTTCCATAGAGATCATCTGATAAACATGTACTATGCTCTAGTATATTCCATTTTGAGCAATAACATGATTGTATGGGGCAGGGCCACAGGAGCTTCTAGGGTATTCATTTCACAAAAGAGATTCATAAGGCTATTGTTCGACCTAGACGATAGAGAGTCATGTAACGACACATTTATTGAAAGCGGCATTTTAACACTCACTTCAATCTATCTATACAAATTATTGCTATACACACACAATAAATTAGGAAAACTCGATAGAAACACCGAATTTCATGAATACCCTACAAGAAGACGTGCCGATTTTCGTCTGCATCAAATTAAAAGAATGCAGCATAGAAAATCTCTTTATGCTGGAGGCTATTCCTTCAACATGCTACCTCCAAACCTGAAATCATTGCAGGGTTCCAACATTTCCAAAGCGCACCTAAAGAAATACCTATCACACCATGCTTTTTACTGTCTTGACGAATATGTCCAATTATTAGTTATTTTTGTATCTAGAGCGCGAAATGCTACTTTGGTGATCGAGATCTGAATTTTTTAACGAGGCGTAGCCGAGTTAAAAAATAGTCGAGATGACCAAAGTATTTCGCGCTCGAGTTGCAAACAAAATTTTTTCTGCAAACGTCAAAAAATATAGTTCTAAAGTAGAAATATGCTTAGCTTGATATAAAAAATAGTCTTGAACTGGCTTAAAAGGCCTCCCCCTATCCTCCCTAGGTACGCACGATGTTCCACGAACATAATAGGAATTTCCTTTCGTGCGCTCCAAGAGATAGAACAAAGTTATTGTTGAACATTCAGAAATAAATGATTTCGTGGATGTTTGCTCGATTGAGGACCATAAAGTTGAAATATAAATATCTCATATATTTTAAATTACAATGCGCGAAGTAGGCACTTCGCGCACTGTTTTACTTCGCGCATTGTTTTGTGCTAGGTATCATGGTAACGTAGGAAACTGAAAAAAAGTGTCACTTCGCAATTTGTTATCAATGCGCGAACCTTGTCATTTTTTGACGTTTGTAGAAAAAGTTATTTAACCAACTAGTGTATTAATGAGGGCGATTAATGATCGAGATATTTTAAGTTGCGAGCGAAGCGAGCGCGTTAATGTTCGAGATCATTAATCGCCTTTTAATATACAAGTTGGTTACAAAATTTTTCCGTCGACTATATTTCTCATTTCTCCTTCAATGAAGAAATCTTGGTTCGCGAATTCATCATTCATCTGGAAACTGCTAAGAATCACCCAGTAGCCTTGTTACTGACATTAGTGACATTTGACATTTGTCGAAATGATCAACATAGAAAATAAATTCCTTGTGTTACAAAACAGGGATTAAAATCGTGTCAGAAACTTGGAAAGGCGAACCCGTTAACGGAAAATCTTCAATGAAATCCATATTTTCGATTTAAATGCAGATTCCGTAAGTTATAGCATCAACAATGAATGCACGCAGTGTATGTTTGGTTGCCTATAAAACAATCGTGTATTAATAGACAAATCGTTCATTTAATAGGGGTGATTAATGAACGATTTCATATACATTAAACTTGGTCGTTAATACGAGGTCGACGGAAAAAGATTTAATACTGTCATCCTTTTTATACTGCATAATTCTCATGTACATATACAGGGTGTTTCATAATTGAATGTCAATATTCGAGGAGGCGATTCTTGGGCTCATTCTAAGAAGAAAGTTTTATATGAACGTATGACCTAAACGTCCCAACTTTTGAGATACAGGGTGGTAAAATTCTCGAAAATTAATATAGCCTACTACAATGAGACGTTATAATTCGAAAATACCAAATACGAATACAAAGTTCAGTATTTCTGAAATTTGATCTTAAAAATAAAAACTATTTCTCTGCATTGTGATATTGTCATATTAACAATATTACTATAATCATGTAGTGAAAAGCTTTTTATTTTTAAGCGAAAACCGTGCATCAGATTGAAAAAATTGTAGTGATCAAATTTGCTTAGGAATGATCGGGAATTTCAGGAATGATTTCAATTTGGAGATTAATCAGTGGCGTACCATCAATGTCTGCCAAAATAGGTATGTGAAATTCCATACGAACGCCACTGGTGGCAACAACAAAAAATGTGGTACGCTAACTGATGCCTCTTGATACATAGTACATGTATGCCAAATTTCATCAGAATATCTGAAGTGGTATTACAGATATTAATAAAAAACTATTAATTTTTGAGAACTTCACCACCCTGTATCTCAAAAGTTAGGATGTTTAGGTCATACGTTCATATGAAACTTTCTTCTTAGAATGGGCCCAAGAATTGCGTCCCCAAATATTGACATTCAATTATGAAACACCCTGTATACAGGATGGCCCACGGTCGATGGTACCTTAGACGTAGACGGAAAACGGTACATTGGATTATCCTGAAAATTTGGTTACTCTAATAAGCGTTTGTGATCTAACGATTCAAAATATTTTCAGCGAAGCAGCGTTGCCACTTTTATCAAAAAGTAGCATCATCTTTGTTATTTCAAATGGAACACCCTGTATTTTATTGCGTTTTCAGATTCTTCTCGAAGAGCTGATTTCATCAATGCATCACACTTGGGGTCTAGCAGGAATTATTACAGAGATATAGGGTGTTCAAAATCGAGATTTTTAACTTTAGGATTTTTTTGTGTCGAAACTATTCATCATTGGTCAAAACGGCTTACATGTCCCTATATTAACTTTTGATTAACTATCTACCGAAATTTTATTGGAAAAATACAGGATGGTCCAAGATTCAGAATTTTGATCACCCTGTATCTGTTCCAATTAAATGTCAGTAGATAGTGAATCACAAGTTGAGATGGGCACATGTAAGCCGTTTTGATCGATAATGAATAGTTTCGACACAAAAATTCCTGAAATTGAAAAATCTCGATGATTTTGAACACCCTATATCTCTGTAATAATTCCTGCTAGACCCCAAGTGTGATGCACTGATGAAATCAGCTCTTCGAGAAGAATCTAAAAACGCATTGAAATACAGGGTGTTCCATTTGAAATACCAAAGATGATGCTATTTTTAGGTGAAAGTGGCAACGCTGCATCGCTGAAAATATTTTGAAACGTTAGATCACAAACGCTTATTAGAGTAACCAAATTTTCAGGATAATCCAATGTACCGTTTTCCGTATACGTCTAAGGTACCATCGACCGTGGGCCACCCTGTATACACATATCTTGTTAGTCCTTGTCCAAAACGTGTTTTTACTTTTTTACTCTTTTACTTTTTTTAAATATTATATCACCATTTTTATTGCCTATATTGCATATCTGTACTTACAACTAGCATAAGGACCTGTCTCATGTTATGTAAATAATCAAAAGAGATCAATAAAAGTATCTATCTATCTATCTATAGGACAGTGAGAGCCATAATTTGTGGCATGACATTTAATTTGAAAGACTTGCATATTGCGAAGTGTTCTCAGAGGGACATTAAAGTTGATCATTTGTAGTAAATCCGGACATATAGTGTGCCCCTGACACACTTTGAGCTAATCGAGAAAGCGGCAGTCTCCCTTCCAGGTGTTTATATTAAGTTCATTGGCGGAATGGGACTTCAGGTTCGGCTTCAGGAAAAATTCACATTAATTCGAAATATTAAAAATACTGTATTTGATAATTAACAAAGGTCATTAAAAGAATCGTGAAGAGGAGAAGAAACTGAATTGGATTTGATACTTTTTGTTTTCCCGCCACCAATTCTCATCGTAACACTCATAATCAGAAAGTTGGAAATATGTCAATTTGAATAGTATTAAAATTATGAAACCAGTTTTAATCACAATGGGCGTATACACCTTAGTAGAACTTTTAACTCAAACCATGTTTATAATGATCCTTTTATACATAAATAATGATTGACGACATAATTCGATCGAAAAATCAACTGGAATGTTTTATTTTTGGACATAAATAAAAGTACCTGCTGAAAACGGACCCTCTTATGACGTAGAAACCTCATCTCGCCATAGTTAAAAGAAAATACCAAACGCCCGACGGAGACTGAGGCAACTGATATATTTATTCTTTCAACTGAGATCTCGCGCTAATTCACTCTGTCAGAAATCATGTATCATTCATCTCTGTCTGGAATAGTCTTGTTTCAGTATTAGGGTTTTGACGTCACATCATCGCCTCGTTTTCAGAGGGTTTTCGGGAATTTCCATAATATTTTATAAAACGTAGGGAGCTCACAGCAAGAAACGGTTTGCGGTGGTGAGCTAGTTTGGGTGAGTTCTATCGAATTATGAAATATTTTTTTTTTGTGATATAAGCCCATTATTTGATATCTACTACAATAATCGCTTTAAGAAACTAAAGGTACTTCTTGTATTTACTGCTACCAATTCTGATGGTAACATTTTGAAGCAAAATGTTGAAATTATGTAAATTTGTAAGGAAAAAAATATAAATAAATGCTAGTGCGTCTTAAAGACCTAACCGATTTATTTAGAAAATAGTTTCCTGAACACAACTAGTGACGATTCCTCGATTTTTTTACAGGTTTTACGGTGCCTTGTACAGAAAACTTTTTGACCCTAGCCTTCTTACCACAACCCATCGTGCAATGTTGTTGAGTCTCATTTATAAGGCCCTCCTGAAAGATAAAGAGATCGACAGGGTCAAAATGTTCGTTAAAAGATTACTGCAAGTGAGTACCCTGAAGTCTAGCGAGATACATTTATTATTTGTTGATTTCATCAACAAGTAGAGCGATCAACCTACCACATTTCTATGTACAATTACTTAAGGAACACCTTGTATATGAATCTGTATTTATACAGGGCGTTCTGGAAGGTCAGCATTTTTTTTAACTGGATGTTAAACTCAACAAAATAAAGAATTTCACCAAAAATTGCCCACATAAAAATGGCAAAATAACGGCCCTATTACGGTCCTGGTTAACAAAAATTGACGATCTTGAGGTTGTAACGCTTGTACCCTTCGATAATGTTATGAATTGAATTGTGATTGTCTTATTGTTTTCCATACTTTACTGTGACCCACTTCGGCGACTTGTACTAGTACAGGTTCTTTATTTTCATTTTCTGGAAGAAAAACAATTGAAAAAGCGGATCCGATGACTAGCGCTAGACAAACAAAATTCTACGGCCATTACCGTAATAAAATCCTCTTATGCACTAGCGGTAGTATATTATATACATATTGTATACATGTTTTTTTTCATCCCATTCCATGAATCATCACTTATCACACTACTAACGCAGTTCTTCGAATATTTGAATTCTTGCTCTCTGAAGTTTTCACCCACAGGATGACAATTTGCTAGACTACAGCCAACATTTTTTTGGTTTCCCTCTATAAACATTGTATGTTTGTTGGAATCAATAAATTTTATTATTATTATTATTATACACTCACCGGCAAAAAAAAACCGGCCACCAAAAAATTTAGTCAAGTTGTTCGCCCTGTAACTTCTTTAGTTTTTGTCGGATTTTGGTGAAATTTTGATCAAATCGTAGATTCATGTTCCGGAATGTTAACCTGAATATGAATTCCCAAAAAACCTGATAGCTTGGTCATTATACAGGAAAAAACAAGAGTTACTCATTTACCCTTAACTTCTTTACGCCCTGTGGCTGAAGTGAGTGGTTGAACTCCTCTTTATTATGTCTTGGATTGAAGAGTATTCTTTTCTCATCACAATAGTTTTTGATTCACGTCGATATCTCATTGTTTAGAAAAGATACGATGGTTTTAAGAAAGTTCCGACAAGAACTAAAGAAGTTACAGGGCGAACAACTTGACTAAATTTTTTGGTGGACGTTTTTTTTTGCCGGTGAGTGTATCAGCTTGATTGACAACGTAGGAAGATATATACTGGGTATGCATTTTGTACCAACTAGGAAAAAAGCCAAATACTCAAAGTGGAAGGCAATGGTCACAAAAACGAGAAACTCGAAAGTAATTACCACAATAGTTCATAAAATGAACGAAGATGGTAGATAACGAGAGAAAAACAACTACTTTCCTGGCGATATGCCACGCAGTGCATTGGATTACATCCTCCCAAAATCTATGCAATAATTCGTGTAGACGAATAAAATCGCAAATGTTTCGTTCCTAAACGCCGAGCTGCGCCTAAATGGTTCAGGAACGCGTGATTACCTGCAGACCGGTTTCGAGCTGTTGGCTCTCATCAGTGCAGGGCTGTCCCAGGTAGGGTCCCTTGATGGAAATTGACGTTAAAGTCATCTAACAGGGTACGGACAGATCATAGCTGCATTCTTTTTTAATGATCTAGAGACTTTAGTTTTGTCTACTGGCATCCCTGACATTGCTGTCACGTGACATCCATGGGCGCTACAGAAAATCATTCTAAATTTTAATAATAAGTATGTACATGGTATTTACTCGTTGAGGAACTCGTTGCGAACGAGTTTTGTATTTATGATCCGATTCTATTCAAGATTAGAAAATATCTGGAGTTTTCCGGGGTTGGAGATAATGATTGTTTCGTCAAACTTGGAAAATTCAAGATGACGGATCCAATATATAGCGAAAGAAATTTCTAATTATGATCTGATTATATTTAAGATTAATATCTGAGGGTTTTCGGGGTCGAACTTTATGATTATTTGTCAAGATTGGGAAATTCTAGATAGCGGATCCAATAAAAAAAAAAAATTGGTATCTGAAGATTTCAGGGGGCGGAGATTATAATTATTCCGTCAGAATTGGTATATTCTAGATGGCGAACGAGTTTTGTTATGAAGGTACGAAACTTGGTATCTGGGGATATTCGGGATAGGAGATAATGATTGTTTCGTAAAAATTGGAAAATTCAAGATGACGGATCCAATATGGCGAAAGACATTAGTTTATATAATTACTCTACCACAAATAGAAAATATGTAGGATGCAAGAGTGAAAATAACGTGCCTATTAGTTATACTGCATATACCTACTTCTTTGATACTTTCATCAATAAATTATTCGAAAATGACTTTATTCAAGGGAGTCGGAAAAATCAGGTAAAGTATATTCTATTCTATATTTTCATACACATTTTACGTATTACTCTTCATCAGCCTACTTTTCGTCCTAGACGAAGTTTTATACATATAGTGCGATATCAGAAACAGTAGTTTAGATATCCACATCGAGGTTTCCACCATTTATCAATCATAAAAGGCTCTGCTCATTCAGTTCATAGATAAACTACTGCTCAGAAATCAGAATTCATTCAGTCAATTCAGTCAACCCTGGTATACAGTCTAAGAATAGTCTCTTTTGGTGAAATTTATCAAGCTTTCAGTAGAATTTATATGTCCCCTACCTACCTAAGATTAAGCTGGAGTAGTAATCTCTGAAACTAGAGGATTGTTCATTTATATCTTGGTATAGTTGAATCAGGAATTTCATATGGAAATTACGTATGATACGCCAGTGTCCTCAATATAACCTTAAAAACAACGAATGTCAAAAATCTAGTGTTTATCCCCAGAATTGAATAAGGATGGAACTATATAACTGTTTCACAAACGCTTTAGAGTGAGAGGAGACGAGGATCTGTCCGTACCCTGTTAAGATGACTTTAACGTCAATTTCCATCAAGGGACCCTAGTCCCAGGTAGCTTCTTGACCGCTATCTGGTGCGAACCCGACTCAACGTCAACGCATCTCAGCATTTATATCCCACGAGGCGTTCAACGTCCGCGAAATGAACCCGAACGCCACCTGGCAAGTCAGCGTGTATTGGCCCTTGGCTGGCACTACTGGGCCATTATTCACACCGTAGGCCATGCATAACTGTTATGCACGACCAAGCGTAAAGTAGTACGGGAGGTAAAGTGATAATTCAAGACATTTTTGTTCTAGTTGTGAAGGTTCATTTTCTTATATTACTGTTCTGTTGATATTTTTGAGATGCAAAATGAAGATTGAATCCAAAATAAGTTATCTGTGATTGACAGCAAATGATATAAAAGTCCACTCCTATTTCTAAAAATTGATTGAGTTACCATGGTAACGTTGATTCCATCAATGATATTCCTTACTGCAGCCATGATGTATTTCTATCGTTCTCGAGAGGTGAGGAGGTATTCACGATGAAAAATCAAAGATGTTATTATGGATTTTGGCGTGTTAATGATACACATACGTTAAGGTCCATAAAAGCCTATTTTACCCTTGATACATAATAGTTATTTTTGTATCAAGGGCATAAAGTAGGCGTTTATGGCCTGTGGCGAGCGACCATTACACGCTGAAGGCCATAAACGCATTTCACGCACGAGATACATACAAAATTTTATGCACTAGTGGTTTATTTTCTGACTCATAAGTGATGACTATAGATGTCGATAAACTAATATTCGCCAGAATTCAATTTGTTACGTATAAATTCAGTAATCAAGAGAAGCGTAATGTTCATGGATGATTTACTTATGAAAATTATCGTACGAATATTGCAATTATCGTAATAGTAAAACTCTTTCAGCTCTAGAAGAGATTCATTCTTCAGAATTTTACAATATGCATACCCAGTATATAAACCCAACTTATTTTGACGTTGTCAATCAATCTGATGGTTGTTGTCTATAGCAATACATCTAATAAACGAGCTGAATTGTCATTCTTTGACTGAAAAGTAAAATTAGTGATAATAATAATAGCGAGACTATGGAATCGGATAAGGAAGAAGTTTATGATATACCGCTGGATATATTAGGATCTAGGAATATGATCATAGGTTTTTCATGAATTGATATGTGGATATAAGGGACTGCATAAATAACTATTTGAATTCGTGAAATGTTCAAGTGAAAATAACTTCGTTTTCGTTATCATGCAACTTTTATTGAGGCTATATTTAGTGGGTCTGTCTATTTCAATTAATTCTGTATTCTCTTGAAAACATGCTTCACCTTTGAGAACACTCTGTATTTTGCGATATGTTAAGTTGAAAGAACAATCATTTGCAGATTTCTCTCTTCACGCAACCGTGTTTCTCTTGCGGTATCCTCTTTTTGGTATCCCAACTGATGGGAAAGAGGGAACATCTTCAAGCTCTAATACTTAGCGAGAGTGACAAAAAATATGCAGGAATTGATGCAGATGAATTAAAGGACGAAAACTTGGAGATAAAAGAAGAAATATTGGAGGTAATTCTTCATTTCAAGCACAAAGTGTAACAAATAAAAAAGTTCAGCTAGCTTTGAGAGAGAAAATATGTCTTCAAATTCAGTCCTTGACTTCAGGGTTCTACTTGAAATAATGAAAATTTCATGTTGGCAACACTAGAAATGAAAAGGGGGTCAGGTAGCCGTGCGGACAGAGTGTCAATATTCTAATCCGCATTCGCTTGCCGGTCGTGGGTTCGATTCCCATCGACTGCAGAAATTTTTCTGATGGCCCAAGAAGTTTGGGATCACACGTTAAAAAATAAGACCCCCATCATTCCTTGCTCGCACAAGACTCTCGAAGACTTCTGAGGGTTGCTCGTAAGGGGGCAACCGAATGACGGATAGAACAATTTAGAAATAGAGAAGAAGACCAAATTAACTTCAATGTGAATAAGGTCGGAACGGTCTTCTTCATTTCCAGTGTACCAATGAAATTTTCATTATTCTAGGTTGGAACTTTGAGGGCGATAACATAATGGGAGAACCTTATTGTTTCTTTCTCAATGCTAGCTAAACTTCTCTCTTGTGGCAAAGTTCTGAAAATAGCGTGTGTTATTTCGGAAGTATCGCAACTTTGCCCTAGAGTCACTGAATGGTATTAGTTAGGTAAGAGTTCAAACACAGAAATGACTACTGTTAGTATTTTCCATATATCTACTACTGTATACAGGGTGTCTGTAGAAAGTCTTTACAAAAACATACCACATATTCCTTAGACCAAAATAAGTCGATTTAAGTAAAATTACCTCAGTACAAAGTTGCATCGTTTGGGCTCCAGAGGGCGCCTTGAAGTTACAATTTTCAAATCGTTTTTTCCATATAAATTTAAAACGGCATATGCGATTTTGCTGAAATTTGGTATATTGATAGAATTCTAGTTGGCAAAAAAAATGGTATTAAAATTTTGTCCGATAATAATACATAGGCGTAGAACTTCATTTTTTAAATAATTGCACCTTTACAAATTCTACGCCAATGGAAGAAAAGGAGTTTTGGTATAAAATTTATATTGCGCAACTCATTTACTTTAAAAAAGATACTCCTGATAAGACTCGATTGCTCTTTTGGTTTCGACTAAATTTGCATTTTAGTAATTTTAGAACATAAACAATAATTATTAAAAAACGAACTTTGTCAGAACCATGAGAGTAAATCGAGTGTTATCAAGGGTACTTTTTTGTAGTAAATGAGTACCCAATCCAAATTTCATACTCAAACCCCTTTTCTGCCATTGGCGTAGAATTTTTGAAGGTGCAATTATTTAAAAAATCAAGTTCTACGCCTATTATTATCGGACAAAATTTTAACACCATTTTTTTGCCACCTAAAATTCTATCAATATACCAAATTCCAGCAAAATCGCATATATGCCGTTTTAAATTTATATGGGAAAAACGATTTAAAATTGGCCCTCTGGAGCCCAAACGATGCAACTTTGTAATAAGGTAATTTTATTTAAATACCATCTTCTGTCTCTATAGGTAACGAAATTGACCAATATTCGTTGATGCCGACGTAGGGAAAAAATAATACGAAATTTTTGCATTGGTTTTAGCATGTATGTAATTGATTGCGATTGGAATTCGAATATTTGCGTTTTTAGCTGTACAATTCTTCAGTGTTTGTGTTTCATAGACTGAACTTTTTTAACCATGTCTAGTGAAACGAAATGCAGTATTTGCGTAGGAAATAATAGACAGGAATCTTCTTTCCATAAGTAAGTTTGAATTTTCAAATCTTGTTCATATATTGACCTGCACAAAGGTTAGTGTGTTATTTACATTATATTTTACACTCTCAAAGAACCCTGAACGAAGGAACTTATGGCTTCAATCATTGGGGATAACTTATTCCCCCAATCTCATAATATAGTCAGCACTTTATACAAAATAAATCGAAGTTGATGGTATCATACTGTGGTATTATCAACAATTGATGATTTTTAATATTCTATTTACAAAACGAACTATTTGAAAAGAGAATCCATTATTATCATCACACGAAATGCAAAACAAAACTATCATGGAGAAAGAGGAATTGATTGCAAAACTATGTAATGAAATTGAAAATTTGAGATCGAAACTGAGGAAATCAAGTAAATTGTAACGTGATATATCATTGAATGGCGTTTTCAATACCGACAGAACTAGCTATCCATGTGTCTATTTCGTCAGTTAAATGTTGTTACATGTTTTCTTTTTATTTCTATAACTGTTGTTCTGTGAAAAATGTCATATCGCTATAAATTGAAGTGGGTGCTAATACCCTCTTTCTATTTTCCATCTACGGCTATGATTAATTTGACAGGAAATCTTACCTCTGAAATCGTATCTGGCGCTGTTAGAGAAATTGAAACGACAAAGAGCAGAATATATATGTCTCATTCTTTCATTGACTCAAATCATTGTAATATATGTAGAAAAGATAAAAGGACAGGAGTTCAGCTGTGTCCGAACTCTTATCTACTAATACCATATAGTAACTCTAATTTGCCCTATTGTCAACGGGTTCATGATACTTCGCCGAATGGACAAATCGCCGAATTTTCGGTCAAAACGCCGAAACAGCTATTTGGACACTTTGCCGAAACTGGTCACTACGCCGAAACGTATGAAACCGACGCTGCATAAATCGGGAATGCAGCGTCGAAACCAAAAGCTCAGTTTTGCTTAAAATGCTGATAAAATTCTTTGGGCATATCGCCTAAAGTGGTCACTACGCCGAAAGTGGCCAAATTGCCGAATTAATTAATTGGACACTGCCGAAAGTAGTCATGACGTCGAAACAGCTATTTGGACACTGCCGAAAACGGTCAGTACGCCGAAACCGCTCTTCGGACATTCCAATTGTCAATAGTATTCGAGAGAGCCATAATTGAAGTTGAATTTTTTTAACGGAAACGGTATTTGAACAAAATCCGAGAAGGTAATGGTGTCAGATTCTGGATTTCCTAAAAAAACTAGAAACAGACGTATATTCAATCATTCTACACGGCATCATATAGCATTATAAATTGCATAAAATTGAATTTCATCAAATATTTTGCAACCATAGAAATATCAAAAAGTATTGGCTATCTTGAATACTATCGATAATTGAAATGTCCGAAGAGCCGTTTCGGCGTTATGACCATTTTCGGCGAAGTGTCCAAATGATTCGGCAATTTGACCACTTTTGGCGAAATGGCAAAAAAGCAATTCCTGCGTAATGACCACTTACGGCGATGTGTCCAAAGAATTCACCAAACATTTCGAGCAAAACTGAGCTTTCAGTTTCAACTCTGTATTCCCGATCTATGAAGCGTCGTTTTATACATTTCGGCGTAGTGACCACTTTCGGCAAAGTGCCAAAATAGCTTTTTCGGCGTTTCGACTAAAAATTCTGCGATATGTCCATTCGGCGTAGTGTCCGGATCCCTTGTCAACCACCCTATCCTCCTTGTAGGACCCCATAACTCAGGACTCCTCCTCCCCCTCCCAAATTCTGTCAGACCCCATCGAAATAAAGGAAGAAGAAGAGGACGTCAAACCCGACGTGGATTTATTAGACGCCGCCATCAAGGCCGAAAAGAATCTGAAAAAGGAGAAAGGGCCGGTGGAGGCGTACAACCCTTGGGCGCGCAACCCCCTGTATGGGGGTGGAAAGTATGCCGCCTACGTGGAACTGTACGATCTCGCCAATCATTTTCATCCGACCGTCGCACTGTTCGCCAGGAATATTGTCAGAGGCGAGACGATCAAGTATGCTGGGGATCCGCTCAACGATTTCACCCTCATCAGGTTAGTCGAAACTATCAATTTTCTTCACTCATAATAGGCTACTGGACTGATGAGATAATGAATTATTGGCATCCAATGTTGGAACATACAGTATGGTGGAAATGTATGGAATAAATTCATTATCTCTAACGCATATGAATTTGAGAAAAAATCCTGAGACAGGTCGATTTTTATTCTTTTTTTTTTTTTCGGGCAAAATAAAGTAATACAGGGAGAGATAAAATTATTAATTATTTCATATTTACAACGAAAACAATTACAATAAATAGCTTCCAAATAATTTTTTGTTTTTGTATAAATGACCATAACTCCGTTGTTATCAACACAAAACTATTACTGCGACATATCATCTGTAAGAGGAAAAAAAGTTATTTGTAACTAAGTCATAGTGAGCTTTGACCTACATTCGAAAAACTAAAGTTGGTGCTGATATCTCAAATTCTAGAAGAGCTGGTATAAATTTCATATTTTTTTCGAAATCACTTTGAAAAACTGCCATGAGAATGTGAAATTCCTATTTGAATATTTTCATGAATAAAGAAGTTACGGAGGAGACATGAAAATGATCAAAATCTGTTTTTTGCGTATAAAACAAAAACGAATAGATTTTATCAGAATATTTTTTCACATTATAGTCGGCCTTGACAAACTCCACATTTGGTGTCATTTAACCGACCTCGTATCTCTCACCGTTAAAAAGATACCCATGGTGAGCATGGTAAGTGGGACACACTGTATAGTGATTGATGAGGCTTGTATCATTGTATAATTGCAGAAGGTCACCAATTCGAACATTTATTGTAATGGTTTCCGTTGTAAATATAAAATAATTAATAATTTTTTATCACCCTGTATTACTTTATTTTGCTAATATCAGTATATGGTTGGATAGACAATGAATATACCTCCCGAAAAAACAAAAGAAAGGGGATGTTTCCATTTAAAAAAATAATCGATGACGATAAAATCGACCTGTCTCAGGATTTTTTCTTAAATTCATATGCGTTAGAGATAATAAATTCATTCCTTACATTTCCACCATACTGTATAATGCCGTACATTATGAGTTATCTGTAGATGTGATAACTATAAGATCACCCTATACGATTACATTGGAAGAGCAACTAAAAAAAAATTAAATTAGAATATCAGATAATCATTTTTAAATCATATTCATAGTACATATAATTTTGTTTCTTTTAGAGACTGTTGAATATAATATGTACTTGAATTGATTTAGGATGATATAAGAGAATCAAAGACATAAGTATTTTTTCAGTTCTTCTTTGAATTTCTCAACACTTAATTTTTTCTTCAGTCTGGCAGGTAATTCATTATAGAGAATTGTTCCATTGTATAAAATAGATCTTTTACCCATATCTGATTCAATTTTGATGAGAGATAACATATCTTTTTGTCTGGTAATGTGTTCGTGTTTATGACTAATGACTTCAAAATTCAGATTTGAATGTTTATCATATTTGACGGAATGGATGAAATTTAATGTTTTGAATGTAAATGGAGTTGATATCTAACAATTGCCTAGGTTTGTGAATGTTTCTTGTTGGTCCCAAGTAATTTAGTTTTTATATACATTCAATAACTTCGTTTTGAAGGATTTTGATTGGCTTTATAATTGATAACCTAGCTGTACCCCAAACTGAAATCAAGTATTGTCACGATAGACAGTCTGTCTCATCATCTCCATGTATGGTGTATTGGTATGATTATTGTTATCAAATCATTAACTCAATTCCGAACTTGCTTTCTCTCAAGAACCCTGGTCAACAGGTTATGGGCCCAGATTTGGTCGCGATTGGAGTGATCATTGATTATAAAGCATCACAAAATTAGAAGGGTTTGTTGGAACAAATAATTTCGTACATTATGAGTTCTCTGTGGATGTGATAACTATAAGATCACCCTATACGATTACATTGATCAATGTTGTCACGATAGACAGTCTGTCTCATTATCTCCGTGTATGATGTATCTCGAACTTGCTTTCTCTCAAGAACCCTGCTCAACATTGAATTGCTCCACTGTGTCGTTAGGAACCTACATTAATTTTTGCAACACTTCTTACGCGTTTTGGATATAAATAATCGGGTCGATTTTGTTTGTATCTTGTTATAACATTGTTAAGACAACAATATTGTTATAATAATCGAATATAACAATATTGCCATGCAATTCTGCAGTGTGTTTATACAGTATCTGCAAGATTGGTTATAAGTTCAACTTACGTCCTGCTGCTATTCTGGTTATCCGTGACAATCAATTGAAGCAGTTTCTAAAAGATTCAGTATATAAGTATACTGTATTCGTATTATTTGTTGGTATTTGCAAGTGCAAGTGTGTGGTATCAAATCATCCCTAAGAAAATGATCTTTCAAAGAAAGCCGACGAGCCACCTCCTTTCCATTTGAAAAAATCAAGTTGACTGGAAATTTCATGATTGCGGCTTTTAAATGATTCTTAAAACGACTGTGAAGTCGTAAGCCTCAATGTCATATTTTTTTCATGTTATTTGATCAAGGGTGAAGCGATTTACAAAGAAAAATGAATTCATTTGTCGAATATTAAGAAGTGAGGTATTGTTGGATTCAGAATATCATTGTCGATCAAAATGAGCAAAAATATACATTTAAATATCGAAAATTGGGTTCATTTCCGGTCCGACCGAAAGAACGGCAAGGCAAGTAAATATGTCAAAAAACTCAAACTATAAAACAAACCTCCAATTGTCGTTTTTCCATCTTCAATAATGAAAAAGTAATAGGGGTCAGCCACTTTGAAAAATTACCCGGTATGTATAGTTTCCCACCCTAGATTTTTTGCAGGTTTCTGGACAGGTTTGTGTTCAAGAACCCGAGGAAAATTGAGGAGACGGCAGGCAAAAACCCTATGTTCGCCAAGAGAAAGTTATACAGGGCGAAGGGCGTCAAATCGTTATCTGTCAAGTCTGCAGGGTATGCCAAAGAAAATCCCGATAACATTCCGGTGGACGAGCTCTTCGTGCACATGTGAGTATAAGGAATGGAATTTGGAGTTCAGTGAATTCGATCAGTAACATTTTTTTTGCAATCGTCACCATAGTCGTCCATTTCAATACCAAAATTAGCTCTTCAATTGACGTTTCTATTACTTACACAAACATAAGTATGTTCTGTCTAGGGTCCCTTGATGCAAACTGACGTATTTGTCATCTAACAGGGTACGGTCAGATCATAGCTCCTTTCTCTTTTAATCATCTAGTGACTTTGGTTTCGTGTATTGGCGTCCCTGACATGATATTGCTGTCACGTCACATTCATAGGCGTTAAAAGAGATCTTACAAAATTTTAATTTCATACTTTATTCTAATATGACATTATTCAATTATGTTTTGGAAGGATGGTAAAATGTGATACGTTAGGCTGTATCAATCTGTTGGCTGGTGAATTAGAATTTGTCAGCTTTCCATCAAATGCAAATGAACTTAGAACATGGAAAGTGAGGTGACCGAATGGGGAAAATTGGTAAATACATCAGCAAAATATTCGAGGTAGAACTAATACGAAATCACATATTATACTTTCTCATTGTGCCTATAATCATCTACTCCACAAGTTTTTGAATGCATTTTAGTAGAAACAGTTTTGATTAAAACGGAGGATTGAGAGAAGAGGCACATGCCCTACCATTAAAAAAAATTATACCTACATCCAGGAAATATTGAGTGTTTGTGAAAAACTGCAAAAATGATTCCCAACATGAATATACAGTGTGTCCCACTTACCATGCTCACCACGGGTATCTTTTTAACGGTGAGAAATACGAGGTCGGTTGAATGACACCAAATGTGGAGTTTGTCAAAGCCAACTATAATGTGAAAACATATTTTGATAAAATCTATTCGTTTTTGTTTTATACGCAAAAAACAGATTTTGATCATTTTCATGTCTCCTCCCTAACTTCTTTATTTATAAAAATATTCAAATAGGAATTTCACATTCTCATGGCAGTTTTTCAAAGTGATTTCGAAAAAAATGTGAATCTTATACCAACTCTTCTAGAATTTGAGATATCAGCACCAACTTTAGTTTTTCAAATGTAGGTCATAGCTCACTATGACTTAGTTACAAATAACTTTTTTTTCTCTCAAAGATGATAATATGTCGCAGTAATAGTTTTGTGTTGATAACAACGGAGTTATCGTCATTTATACAAAAATAAAAAATTATTTAGAAGCCGCCATCTTGAATTTTTAAATTTTAACAAAAAAATCATGATCTCCGACCTCAAAAACCCCCGCTCACTAATTTTGAATAGAATCGGACCAAATCTTGTCCGCCATCTTGGAGCAGCCATTTTTTCGATTTCAACAAAAATTCCATAATGTATTGTCACCGAAATTATGAACACCTGACAAATTCCAAGGTAATCGGAGTTATGGAATTTTTGTTGAAATTAAAAAAATGGCTGCTCCAAGATGGCGGACAAGATTTGGTCCGATTCGGTTCAAAATTGGTAAGTGGGGGTTTTTGAGGTCGGAGATCATGATTTTTTTGGTTGAAATTCATAAATTCAAGATGGCGGCTCCCAAATAATTTTTTGTTTTTGTATAAATGACGATAACTCCGTTGTTATCAACACAAAACTATTACTGCGAAATATCATCTGTGAGAGAAAAAAAGTTATTTATAACTAAGTCATAGTGAGCTATGTCCTATATTTGAAAAACTAAAGTTGGTGCTGATACCTCAAATTCTAGAAGAGTTGGTATAAATTTCATATTTTTTTCGAAATCACTTTGAAAAACTGCCATGAGAATGTGAAATCCCTATTTGAATATTTCCATAAATAAAGAAATTACGGAGACATGAAAATGATCAAAATCTGTTTTTTGCGTATAAAACAAAAACGAATATATTTTATCAAAATATTTTTTCACATTATAGTTGGCCTTGCCGAACTCCACATTTGGTGTCATTTAACCGACCTCGTCTCTCACCGTTAAAAAGATACCCATGGTGAGCATGGTAAGTGGGACACACTGTATACAGCACACATGAAATATGAGCACATTAGTTCAAATACCTACATAAATTTTTTTCAATATTTCTCAATCATAAGGCTTAGTCTGAAATCAAAATTCAGTTATTGATAGGTACTGCCTAAGAAAAGTCCCATTTGGTAAAACGTATTGAACTTTCAGAAAAATTTGCTCAGTGCCTCCCAAAGATTATGCTGGAGTTGAAAAATCGAAAACTCGGAAATTATCATCATCAATTGAATATAATATGTAGAGTTGAATGAGAAATTACATGTGGAAATTACGTATGATACGCCAATGTACTCAATATAACCTAACAGCAAATGTCAGAAATCTAGTGTTTATCCCCAGAAATTAATAAAGATGGAACTATATAACTGTTTCACAAACACTTTTGAGTGAGAGGAGACGAGGATCTGTCCGTACCCTGTTAAGATGAAAAATAGATGTACTCAGTTTAGGCTCCGTTTCGAATCTCTCGGGCCGTAGAAGTCGATCCATCGAAGACGAACTTGTGTTTAGTGAAGCAGAGTCCGATCGTTCAGGGGGGTCCGACATTATTGACTAATATCAACTATAGAGATTGTATATCACTTATTTTGCTAATAAAATTGTAAGGATACCTTTATATGCCAGATTATAGGCTTTTAATAGCAAAATACAAATTAGGTATACTTATAACTTGAGTTCCTAAATGTACTTGACACTGCTGTTTTGACGTTTTTTTGTATATAAGAGTACAGACACTAGACAAGCAGTGCCAATCAAACATAACCACAAACGATTTTGAAGCAAATCATATGTTTTGCCAGACAACAAGGACAAGGATATGTTTTTCGCTTAGATAAAGGATCCTCGCATCTTCCTTCCTCCACAAGTCCTGGGAAGAGTACATCCATATATCTTTCTCTCTCTTTGATTTTTGTTAGGTCACCTTTGATAAGCATAGCCCTGGCCATTCCTGCCACATCCACAATACAATAACAGTTTCACCAAACAAAATTATGAAATTCTTTCTGGTTCCAACTCGGATTCCAGGGAAAACGATCCCACTAATTCTGGTTTTATATGACAAATCTTGACAAAATACAATGTTTGCCCCTCAGCAATCTGTCAAATGACGTAATTCTGGAATGATTAATACAAAAAACGTCAAAACAGCAGTGTCAAGTACATTAAGGAACTCTACTGATAACTAATGACAACAGTTATTGACATAATCAAAATCTCAATGATACAGAGTGAAGTAACTGGATAATGCATACAGTATCATCAAACTGCTGATCTGTCTTTTTGTATAATAAGAAAAACTATTCAAAGAGATATTCTCTCGTGCAAAGTTTTCAACTGACGATTTCTGGAATTTCCTATAAGGTACTTGCAAGAAAAGTATAGAGAGAAGGCCGAGCGGGACGAGGAGGCGGACAGCGATTTGGAGTCTGTCCAAAGCGAGGAATTCGAAGAGATGTTGGACAAGATGGCCGGCGTCCGAGACGACGAGGAGGATATAGATTATATGCGAGAAATCGGCGACACTCTCCGGAAAAGTGATGAGAAAAAGAAGAAGAGCAAAGGTAATCGCGAGATGCTCCGTTTTCATTCTGTCATTGAAATTTCATAACCCAAACTAATTCATGAACCTTTTCAATTAATTGGATTCATGTTATGAATATTGCTGAAATAGTGAAATGGTGGAAAATGGTGCAGATCAACTTTGTGAGTACCCAAACTGTTAGGTCGTGAATCAAGATATATCCTGTATATTTATATTTGATTTTTGAATGCATGGTATTATTTTGTATCTAATGACTTTTGTTTAATTGATGTAAAAATAATTTTTCATTTAGGTATGTCGGTGATTGAATCCAAATAAATTGAAATTAAATCATTTCGGGTCCGATAACATGCCTGATTGATTATATATTCAACATTGTGGTCCTTCGAGCCGGATCTGAACCAGCGAAAATGGCATGCAGCAACTGAGGCAGTTAAAATTGGTGACGTAGTGGTTATATGGTCGTTGAAAAAATGCCAAGGAATGAATGGCTACTGGGTCGCATTGAACAAGTCTACCTCGGAAAAGATGGGATCATCAGAATTCATCAGTTAAAAACAAAAAAAGTTTTTATACACGATCGGTATCGAAGTGGTGTATACTCTTACATACCAAAATGGATAATCATGTCAAGACTTCTTGGGGGTGGTGAATATTACGTCGTAAAGCAGGATATCGTGAATATTTATATTCAATGATTTTTGAACACATGATAATATTGTTTTGTATCTAATTACTTTTATTGGATTGATGTAAAAATAACTTCTGGGTACATTATGTCAGTGAATCCATATAAATTAAAATTATGAATCAACTTTGTTAGTGTCCATACAGAGAAAGGCACATTATCGTGGTTCAGATGAACAGCATTTGTATTTCAGAGGTCAAGTGAGATTCTACTTATTCTTTTCGATTCTTGTCCAATGTTGTCAAGTTCACGAAACAGTTTGGATTATCATGAAATCTCGATGATCAGAGTTGAATCAGATTGCCTATCACTCATTTCTTTGAATTTCTAGGTAAACGAGAAGATGAAGATGGTAGCATTTCTGAAAATGAAGAAATGGACGAGGAATTGAGTGATTTTGACCAAGATAATGATGATGATGAATTATTGGATGAAGATGATGATGATGGGATGGACGAGATGGATGAAGATGACAAAGGTAAGAGAATACAGGGTACAAAATTGTTGCAACAAATTCTTATAAAATCTTTCTTAAGAATGCCTGCAACTTCAAATTTCGCGTCGATAATTTTCTGATTTTAATATAATGTAATATCTTCTCAATATTGATTCGTCCTTTTCGCTGACACAGAAAAAAATAGTGTATTATACACGGGAAAAATATTAGATTTTAGCTCAAGGTTTTTTTGTCTCCTTCCGCTACGAATCGAGAGTATTACTATTTTCCCTTGTATAATAAATAACTAATTATACACGGGAAGAATAATAGATTTTTGCTCACGGTTTATTGTCTCCCTGTAGCTAAAATCTACTACTTTTTTTCCTTGTATAATAAATGACCATATTTTCTGATAATTACCCGATTTGCAACGAACGGCGTGTTTTTTTTTTGTTAGAGTTACTTGCCGATTTGAGCAGCGACGACGATGAAGAAGACATTGAATTCATGGAGGATGACGAAGAAGAAGTAGAACGAAACAAGAAGAAGATGAAAAAGTTGCGAAAGGGCGGCAACAAGGACGACATCATGTCGCAATTCGCCGCAGCCGATGAATTTGCCGCCCTGCTCGAAGAAGAGGGTAGTTCGAGGGTTAAATCGGGAACGTCTAGCGCTTTCCTCAACAGGGATAATGCCGGTGAGTCCATTTTTTATCGTCATGTTGGAATGAAGTGAAATTGCCTACAGACCAACTGAATTAAATCATGAATAATCCATATCTCATTATTTCTAAGGAAAACAAGTAGCTCAAAGTCGGTCGACCACACTTTATATAAAACACAATCAATCAATACATGTAGCCGGTTTCGGCGCAACGGCCATCATCAGACATAAAAAAGTACCTGTAGAATGATGAAATATGACAATACAACAGGCCAGTGGACTAATTTTTTTTTATTTCGTAACACTGGCTGCCGGGACCCTGTTTTTCTCTCTCTATTACAGGCTTTGTCAGTCATATGTGACATGGAATTATAAAATAAAAAAAGATATCGTCGCCGAGGGCTCGAGCCATCGACCTTGGTATCCTCGCGCAACAACGCTAACAGTTGCGCTACATCGGTAATTATTATGTTAGTTACAATAACTTGAGTGCTTGAAGATAATTACTTTAGAAAGGAATTTGAATTCTAGTATTGTTCTGTCAGACCGTCAACAAATATGCATATACTTTTTAAATTACACGTGAAACGTTCAGCCAAAATAGAATTGTCTCGCCTTTCGTACAAAATATCATACTGACGCGAATTATAAGTAAATTAGATGAAGTAGGTACTTATAGGTTATTGTCTTAGATTTGAATCCAAAGCAATCTTGACCAGACACGGTGTCAAAATTTTATCTCGCTGATAAACGAGGTTTGTTGGTCACGTGTGGTCAATTCGGCTTCTGTATTGGTAGAGCAAGTCCGATAAAATTTAATAAACAAAAAATATCGCTAGAATACAGAAGAAACCGTGAAAATGGTCGATTCTGATAGGTTCTCGAGATCGAGAGTGGAATAGTCAGTTCAATATTCATCAAGACACTATTATTATTTCATTTTCTACTTCTTTTTAGTTTCGCTATCTATTAAAGCGTGTTTCTTTAGTTTCGCTATCTATAAAAGCGTGTTTCTTTAGTTTTTCAAACTACCATTTATTTCAACCTCTTTTTAGTTCATTGGAATTTCCCAATATTGAATCATAATATACGACTCCTAAAACCCCAGATGAACATTTTGAATAGAATCGGAACATAATTACAAAACTTGTCCGCAATATTGGATCTACCATGTTGAATTCCCTGATTTTGACGAAGGAATCATAATTTTTGATCCCGAAAACACCCACTTACAAATTTTGAATAAAATCGGTATATAATTACAAAACTCGTCCGGTATATTGGTTCTACCGTCTTGAATTTACATATCCCGCCCTTTCGAAATTTTGAGAATCATAATCTTCGGTCCCGAAAACACGTAGATAACAATTTTGAAGAGAGTCGGCTCATAATTACAATACTCGTCTGCCATCTTGAATTTCCTAATTTTGGCGAAAGAATCATAATCTCCGACCCCGATCACAAAATCCGCCATCTTGAATTTCTCAATTTTGACGATTGAATCATAATCCCCGATCAAAAACCCCTTAGATACCAATTTTGAAAAGAATCGGATTATAATCACAAAACTCGTCCGTCATCTTCAATTTTTTTTTTTTTTTTTTTTTAATCGCTTGGAGCGCACGAGAGGGAATCCCTATAATGTTCAAATAACATCGTGCGTTCCTAGGGAGGATAGGGATAGGAGGTAGGTATTGGAATTTTTTTTGAACTTCTGGAGATTATATGTTGTTGGGAATACTTCCTCAGGCAATGAATTCCAGAGCCTAGCCGTTCTATGGATGAAGGAGTCTTGATAAAGTGCTGTTCGGCATCTTTCGAGGTTGACAACGAAAGGATGTGCTGACTGGGCTTGTCTAGTTCGTCTGATTGGTATTGCTAGTGAAGGGATGATAGCAGAGATTTCCGAAGAACATTTCCCGTGGAAGTATCGATAGAAAAGTGAAAGGTCGCCGACCTTTCTACGGTGTTCCAATGATGTCAAAGAGTGAGTGAGTGTGGCGTCACCCACCAGGCGAATGGCTCTTCTCTGGATGGAATCTAAGAGCATCAGCGTATGTTTTGGTGCTGAACCCCATATGTGGGAACAGTATTCTAGAACAGGCCGTATCTGCGCTTTGTAGATCATGAGAAGCTGTTGAGGTGTAAAGTAGCTTTTCGCACGGAACAAGAATCCGAGTTTTTGTGAAGCAGCTTTTGCGATGGATCTGACATGATTATCCCATGAAAGAGTGTTGCTGATGGAAATACCAAGCATTGATATGGTGGGCTTGGTGGGGATGGTGGAGCCAGACATTACAATATCGGGCATACTGAGTTCCGCCTTTCTAGAGAAAATGCAGGCTTGAGTTTTGGTGGCGTTGAATTCAACTAGGTTGTTTGTTCCCCAGGCTGTGATTTCAGCAAGATCTTCATTGACAGCATTGACCTGCCTGCGCCGTGAGTTCTTAGTTTCCTGGGAAGAAATGGGAATTCTGGAAGAGAACGCAGTATGGAGGGTACTATCATCTGCAAAGCTGTGGATGGGACAAGTTGTTACTCCCAACAGATCATTGATATGAAGCAGGAATAATGTTGGTGCCAAAATTGATCCTTGTGGAACGCCGGAATTGATGCCAATGGTATCAGACGATACACCGTCCACCACCATATTCCGCCCGAATTTTCGAATTCTCCGACCCCCAAAACTCCCAAATACCAATTTTGAATGAAATCGGACCATAATTACAAAACTTGTCCGATATATTAGATCCGCCATCTAGAATTACCTAATGGTACCGAGATAAAAAGTATCCTATAACCTTCCCCTGGTTCTAAGCTACCTTCCCACCAATTTTCAGCCAAATCGATCCAGTAGTTTCGGAGTCTATTCAATACATACAAATAAACAAACAATCAAATCTTTCCTCTTTATAATATTATATGGGTTGCGTGCAAGAACTGTCAGAGGACCGACCCTGGAGGAACAACATTGAAACATTACCTCACTTTTCTTATTTGTTTAAAAGTGATTGAAATAGTTTTTCACAATTATTTTGGCATAAGAATCGTATTTTTCGGCTATTCATTAATTCGCGCATGCCATCACATTGTGCTGTTGTACAATGCACAAAAACTGCAGCGGAAGACGAAGGAATCCGGTTGGTACATTATGATTTGAAAGTAAGTACCTACTATAGTCATTCACATAGTTTTCATTTTTGAAATTTGGTTATTTCTCTGATTTCTCATCGGAATTCCTTCTGCAATAGGAGCTAATAGAAAAATGCAATGCAAGAAGATTGGATTCATGCAATCAAATGGGAGGACTGGTCTGACATGCTGACGAAATATGATTGTGTGTGTTGTAGACATTTTCAATCTATTAGCAGTATTAGCTTGTATTGCAGAAGTGGCAGAAGGAATTTCAATAAGGAATGACAACATTTCATAATGAAAACTATGTGAGATTACTATTTACCTGCATGCGAAGGCATGCTTGAATTAATGAATAGCTTTGAGGTTGTGTTTCAATAATTCACAGAAGAGTGAGGTTGTGTTTCAATATTTCGCCTCCAGGGTCGGTCATCGTGCACGCGACCTATAGATAATACTATTCACAACTTTAGTTGTTAGGACGCCCGGATGTCCGATCGTCACGATTTGAGGAGTGTTGACCCTTATTTATTTTGTTGCAGATGTTAAACAACTGGCTTGGGAAGACGATAGAAACAAATGGTTGAGAGGCTTCGACAGAGCCGTAGGAGGGGGGCACAGGAAAAGAAAAGCCGTGGGGGATCGCAAAAAAGGAAAAAATTCATTCAAAAGAAAAAAATAGATAGTTACAAAATATAATTAGGCATTTTATATTATAATAATAATATGATTGTATTTTATACTGAAGTAGTCCAACGGCGCGAAAATATTATTCTTGTAACTTGCTTCCATATGAAAATATTTTCTTAGATACCGCCGCTAGACGACTTTAAAGGGACACCCGGTATATCAACGAAACTTATTTTCCCTATGTATATTTATCACATGCAAAATATCAATCTTGTATCCGGAATGCCCTTATAAATTATAAACCATAGAAACAATTTAATTATTATGTTTTTCTTCCCTCTTCGTCCCTCGTCGAAATTTTATGATCAACTTTTGACATTTTGTGTCCTTTTTGGTATAATTTGATTGTCAAATGAGGGTTTGTATCCAATAAAATTTCGAAGCTAAGATGAAAGTTGCGATACTTCATACAAGTACGCACCAAGAAGCTTCGTCTGAAACAAAAAAAAAAGATGAATGACGAAGTAGGTAATGATTTTACTGCCTAGGCAGTGAAAGTGTTTTTTACTGTCTAGACAGTAGGAGTGAATTTTACTACAAAGCATGAAGAAAAAAAGGCGAACAAGTCATCAAAGTGATATTTAATGCCTTGGTCTGAATATTTTGAATTATTCTCGAATACTGACACATTTTGGTACATTCTATGAATTTTCAGGGGATTTTTGAACATGCTAAAAGATTCAGAACATTTCCGAAGATTCTAGACAATTTTAAAACGTTGATTCTTCTGAAATATTCTATAACACTCTAGAACATTCTGGAAGATTCTTGATCATTACTCAAAGTCCTTGGATATTTTGAGAGATTCTGGGACGCTTTGGAATATTATAAAACGTTCTTGAATATTCTATAACATTCTCCTACATCCTGGAACATTCTCGCAGAACCTAATATAGTCTTGAACATTTTGAGAGATCTAGATATTCTCAAAAATTCTCTAGAACCTCCCGAAAAGTACCAGGATTACTTACAACATTCTGAAATATTTATGATCACTCGAATATTCTGCGATAAAAAAAACATCAAAAATTCTGGAACAAATTGGAATGGGTATTCTGGAACATTTTTGAACAACCTGGACAACATGATACATTCTGGAATCTTCTCAAACAATCTGAGAGAGTCTAGATTATTCCAGAACATCCCAGAAGATCCAGAATATTTTGTAACATTATCGAAAATTCTTGATGGTTCTAGAGACTTTTCGAATATTCTGGAACGTTATGGCAGATGCTCGAACTCTAATACATTCTTGGGAATTCTGGAACATTCTAGAACATTCTCGAAAATACTGGGACATTGGAAAAACCAAGAATTGCTCGAACATTTTGAAAGTTCCAGAGCATTTTGAAACAGTCTTCACTACTCTAGAAAATTTCGGAATATCCTCGAACCTTCCGAAAGATTTTAGAACATTTTGGAAAATTCTCGAAAATATCATAAAGTTGGCATTACATGGGAAAAACTTTTAATAATAAATCATTTCAAAATTGAACTTGGACGTTAGGTCTTGCTTAAAAAAATATGAAAAATGGCCTACTCGATCGGGGTCACGTAACTTCCCCTACATGTCAAAATTAAGATTTCTTCAAATAAATCGCTGAAAATATGTTTATTTGTTCAAATTTCAATGAAGTATACTGAGAAAAGTCGTTTCTATTCCAATTTTACACGTGTGTCTCGAATTTCAACATTCTTGATATTTTTTCATTTCTTCTAATTCTAACTTCAACAAAAGTCCTAAACTTTGGTTAGATATGCAAAGAAGTTGATATTTTGATAGATGACTTTGGCAACATTCTAGTACTGAGAAAGCAATCAAAATAAAATTCGCTCCTGAATGATAGACCATACATTACATCAAACATAACAGAAAAATGAAGCAGGAATGATAATTTTCTAATAAAAATCATTTTTCTGTCGATATTTAGTCATTGAAAGTTGGTAGCATGATAAAGCCACTAAAATGAAATAGTTTAGTCGGCATTAATTTAATTTTTTTAATGTTCCAGACATTTCGTAGAAATTGAAAAAATATAAGAAACTGAAAGTTATAATGAAACGTCCAAATTCGAGACATGTGTCTGAAGTTCGAACAAATAAGTCCATTTAAAGAAAATGTTTATTGTAATTGTAATTGTTAATTGAGAAACTAGCTTCCAGTCAGAAATGGAATTCTGATATGAGGAAGTTGATTACAAACAACAATAATAAAATAATATAGGGTGACAACAACGACAACAAAAAATACTAAAAAATCTAAAAATGCTAAATCGATCAAGTCATAAAAATAGCAGGGACTAATCAGTAGATGGCAAAGTATCAATTTTATCCATTTCGTAATAAGATCATGTGTTTTTTAAATTCAATTTTAAAGGACCCCGCACTAAACTATAGGGAAAATGGCTCTCGATGAAAATCGCTGAATTTTCGGTATGTTGCAGACATTGGTATACTAAACAGATATTCCATCGAACTAACCCCCAAAAATGGACAGTTTTTCCGATATTTACCTACTAATGTAATTTTTTCGAGAAAAAAAAAGTATATTAAAATGGGTTGAATTTTTGGCATGTTGTACAGTGATGCCCAATATATAAGTAACGACTCTTGTGAAAATCCCTTTAAAAATTCGGTGTATGCACCCGGACTAATATCTATTGAAGCCGCCCGCTGTTTCAATAACTTATTTCTTATTGTGGTTTGTGGTACGAGATTGTCAGGTGTATCTCTGAATATTTCTAAGATTTCGGGCTAAAATTCACATCGCCAGAGTAATATTTTCTACTTCATCTAATGAAGCTGACTAAAAGAAAACTGACCAGCATCATCATCGATATTCATTGTTCGATTCTAGTCGATATGAAATAGATAAAGAACTTGTTGAATATAAAGCGGTATCGGTATAATTTCTTTTTCAAATTAGAGTTTGTCTTTAGTGTATCCTTCAATTATTTTTCCTAGAAATCATATTTCTTGATCGTTCTTTATATACATTTTTCTCTGAATTTGATGGTTTTGCGAAGAGAAAACGGTATACACCCTATTAACTTGAAACGCGATTATCTACTTCCAGGAATTCTAATTTTCATTTATTTCGAGTGTCTCAAAAACGCGCAGCGACAAATAAATTCTTCTTTTTTTAATGGGATACCTTGAATATTATTGCATTCTCAGATTCTACGATTTTAAGTTTGTTAGATTTTTTTTATATAACAAAAGTTTATAGTTTCGGAATTATGAACAATAATTGTAAATTGATATTTCGACTATTTCAATACCAGTTCAGTGAGGAAACATTTGGAATAGTATAGCACTGACAAATATAGCCATTTTCATTCGTCTCTAAACCTACCATACATATTTTATTTTCTGAGTGGTCATCGCTCCGAAAAATTCGATGGTTTTGCGGTTTTCAACCTCACACACTGTAATTAGGTTTGTAAATTCTAGCAAAAATCAGGAAATCTCATTAGAAACGTTTTTCGAGAAGTATGTGTTTATACTCATATTTATTTCAATCAATGTTAATCAAAATATCAAACGTGAGTAGTATGCTGTCGCGTAGAACTGGTAAAAATAAAAATTAGTAACGAAACATATTTTTTCATCTCTTGAAACGTTCGAACCTATATTCGTTCTATATAAATAGTGTTTGTTTAAATACTATAACTCTTCAGCTATATTTGATATTCGTAGTTTCCGAGATCTAGTATTATAGACATAATACTTGAATTCGTGATTTAGTCATTTATAAGATCTGAAAATTCAGAGACGTAGGTATTCAATATTCTTAGTTCTCAGTTTTCCTCCAAAGAAATATGTATACTAATATCACAAAACAATTAATAATCATCAATCTACAACGTAACTTGTCTACCTATAGAGTAAAGAAATAATACTTGTCGGTCTGTCGCTTGATACTTCCTGTAAATTAACATAAACTTGTAGACCAATCCTTTAAAGGCTCGACTCTAATTCATAGAGATTTGTGGTTTATTCAAATTTCATTGGTTTACACATAATTCACCCTTTGAAGGACAGGATTTAAGAATTATGATTCGATTTTCATATCATTCATTAGTCTATTTTGTTCTGATGAGATATTTGTGAATTCGTGATATTTTTATAATTTCAAACTTTGCTATTGTTGTTGGAAATATCTCATCATTTGAGTGATTACCAAAAATCGAGTATTTTAACCAAATTGAATAATGGTTGGTCTAATATAAGGAGACTTTGGGACGAACTTCCTGACAATTTGACAGCAAATGTGATTCAATCTATGCCAAATCAATTGAGAAAAGTTATATATGCAAATGGTTCCTATACTAAATACTGACAGTATTCGACAGTGGCGTAGCACTCGATTGAACCGGGAGTGAGTAGAACTTCCTTATTTATAATGGACCGTCACAAATTTCTTCATAATTTCGATTCATTTTTATTATTCTATGATATAAACCGTGATAACATTCTTTAATTCATATTTTGAAGCGCGTTCAGCATTAATATTTTTAGAAATGTATTTTTTTCAACAGTGACATTTGAACATTTTGATTGAAATTTCATTGCCAGATAGAGATTCATTCCGATCAATTGATCATATACAGTGTGTCCACTGTAATAGCGTACCACCCCTGTAAAATCGTTATTATATGATCGATTCTGAAAACATTGTTTTTATTGGATAGGTAGTTGGAATTCTCATCCAACAAGAAAAATGATTTTATTCTTGAACTGTTTCCATGGCTAACTGTGAACAATTTTATTGAACCATACTTCAAAAAATACAATGAGGGATTTTTTCACTAAGATTACCGATGGATTTTGCATCAGGGTATTTCAAAACATACCTATACCAATTTTCATCATCAAAAAACATAGGGTGTTCCAAAGAACGATTTATTATTATTTTTTAATACCCGATCAGAAGATTTAGTATACTATGGCATAATTGGGTAATGACAAATTAATATTGAGGACCTACTTCAAACATATCTGTACCGATTTTTATAATTCGAATATCCAATGTGTCTAAGAAAAAAGAATAAGTAGGCAATATTTTTTATCATGATAGTTCTTTTCCTAGAAAGTAATGACGGATTCTCATTCAAGATCACTCGGAACATACCTGTATTGATTTTCACCATCATAAAACGTTTTTTATCTTCACATTTATGTATATTTGAATGATAATAATCAAGACCAATATGTTTGAAGTCCTCAATATTAATTCGACATCAGTTCTTCCCAAAAATACCACAGTACCTACTATATTTTCTGATCAAGTATAGAAAAAAATAGTAATCCGTATTTTCAGACACCCTATACTTATAATATGTTCTATGATGATGAAAATCGGTACTGGTTTATTTTGAGTGATCTCCGTACCGAATCCATCATTAGTTTCAGTGAAAAAAAGCCTTGATAGTAATTTTTGAAATATGGGTCAATAAAATTGGTCGCAGTTGGCGACGATAAAAATTTAAGAATACCATAACTTTTTTATTGGATGGATATTTCAAATACCTACACAACATAAAAAGTTTTTTGGAATCGATAAAATGATACGGATTTTACAGGCGGTGGTAAATTCTTTAAGTGAACACACGGTATATATAGCACGCGGTCACCGAACATAACACAACATAATACCAAAATGTTTGATGTGTATTCTTGACTGTGTTTTCGATAATTCTTCTTTATAGCTGATCGATATTTCTTTGTGCTTACAGATTCAACAGTATAAAATATAATTTTGGTTTTTAATAGTTATTTATTATACAAGGAAAAAAAATAGTAGATTTCAGCTCCAGGTTGTGTTGAAAATTATCGACGTGAAATTTCAAGTTTTTAACAGTAGGGACACCTGCGTTTTATAGACATCTTTATCATTCTTTCGAAGTAATCAAATTTAGTAATATACGAAACCGCGAAAGTCGAATGGAATAAAAGGACTTGCAGTTCTTTCTCGAAGACGGTATTATTGACTCATTTTTCGGAACTATAGCACAACAGAAGCCATTAACAGAGTATATATATGTGATATATATCCGGGAAAAAAGTACTCACTTTTTTCCCACGGGAAAAAAGTAATTCATGAAAAGTGACATTTTATAACCTGCCAACAGAGATGAAATGCCAAACTTTTTTCCTGTCACAGAAAAAATCTATTTTACATGGTGATAATAATCACACTGTAGATATCCCTGTTTATGGAATTCATATTTCCACTCCAAAGTGCATTATGTGAACCAGTTCTCTCTAGTGAGAAATCATGATTTTCAGTGTTTCAGTTAGGTATAGAGAAAATCATTTTTGAAAATATTCTCGAAAGTCGTAATTACTCCGAAAAAGTTGAAATTGGTATAATAAATCACCTGATATATTTTATGGTTCATATCAGAGTAATATATAGAATCAAAAATGTAGAAAAACGTGGTGCTCTATTAGAAATAAGGGAATTCTATTTACCTCCCGTATTTGGAAGTGCGCTATGCCAGATTAATAATCGGATTTACCCAAAATTTTCAGAGATTTTTTCAACTCAGCATAATTTCGAAAATGAATGGACTACCTGAATATACCTATATTATATAATTCAGTACTATATATTCATAATTTAATCACAATTTCATTGATCATTTTCTCCTGGTTATACAGGGTGTAATTTAATTGATAGTTAAAAATATAGGATATGATTCCTTACCTCATTTTGTGAAGAAAAGTTGATATGAACATATGCCCTGAAACTAGTTCTTGTTCAGTATATTGAAGTTAATCTTTCTTGAAAATTCCAACACCCTATAGCTCGGATGTTGAGAGGTCTAGGGCATATTTTCATATGAATATTTTTTCTTAAAATGAGCTGAGGAACCATATCCGTTATTTTCAGCCATAAACTAAATTACACGCTGTATATAGTTTCAAATTTATTTCAGTTTAGTTAGTTTGTTGTCATATATTATTATATATACATATATTATATTCAATAAATCATGGCATTGTTTTATAATGTTTGTTCTGAGAATGTTGGTATATTCATAGATACCTATATTCTTTCAATTACTTTAGATCGATTGTCGGAATATTTCGTATAACGTTCGTATATCCATATTATTGACTTATTCGTTCATACCATCAGGTCCGTCATTCTATATTTTCATATGAAATATTATCGAATTGAAGTTTCGATGGTTTGTATGACCAATTAATGAATTGAAGATTGTTGAAATTTACACATTCTCAGTACTATCATTTCTGGCTTGAAGGACGAAATAGTAAATCCCTTTACTCCAAGATTGGATTCTAGTTATAATTATATTATATCGTTCTCATCGGAACTGAATCATTGTGAAGCAGTCCAGATCAATTCCTATTTATTTCATTGTTGTTGCCATAGAAGAACTATGTCATTGTTATTTTTCACGTTCGAATAATAATTATTACACCTCTGGGTATATACCGCTGGGTATACCCTATATAATACCTTCACAGTGCGAAGCAGATCATAAAATGCTAATGAGGGAGACAGTTCGTTTCTAGGCAATGAATAGTACATGTGCTTAGACAAAAATATTTCGATTCGCTCAAGAGTCGTTACCTATTTATTGGGCATCACTGTACATAGGAATGAACTGTTGAAAAAAGTCAATTGACCTAACCTCCAAAAATTGACAGTTGTCTCGATAATGACCTCCAAATGTAATTTTTACAAGAAAAAAATCTCTGAAAATACCTAAATTTCTGGTATGTTGTAGATAGGAATGAACTGATGAAAATATTTAATTGACCTAACCTCAGAAAATTGACAACCCCATTGACTTCGGAAAGACTGTAACCATCTTTGAAATGATAAAATATTTCATTACATCCTCTCTTCGACTTTCTTCACCTGTGGATGTATCATATGAAGAAGATTTGTCTTCAGAAGAATGAAATGCCAAATACTAATTCGAAAACAGCAACTTTGTCTATTGATTATTGTTCCATTCATCTTATTTTCCATACGTACATTTGGGGGGTCAATATCGAAAAACTGTCAGTTTTTTGAGGTTAGGTCAATTGGATTTTTGATCAGTTCATTCATATCTACAACATGCCGAAAATTCAACCATTCTCAGATACTTTTTTACCCGAAAAAATTACATTTGGAGGTTAATATCGGAAAAACTGTCCATTTTTTGAGGTTATTTCAATGGAATATCTGAATATCAAACATTGAGCGATTAGCATCGAGAGCCATTTTCCCTTTAGTTTGGTGCGGGGTCCTTTGAAATGTGTCTGCAATTTTTTATATTATGTGGTAATTTATTGAATCCAGCTAGAGCAGCGTGAGTAATTTTTTTTGCCAATTATAGAAGTAGCAGAATCAAGATGAATAGTTTATTATGTAGGTGTTATAAACGTCCTTTTAGTAACGAGTGTTTAATAAACGAGCGTCTAGAAGAGTTTATAAACGCGTTACATACTATGCTTTTTCTACGAACTCCGAAAATTACATAACATACCTGCTACTCCTGTTAATCTACAACATAATTCGGATGGAATAGGAATGGAGAACATAATACATGCAACTGCATGCAACCAGCCAGACACGTGTAAGTGATATTGGTTGTAGATGTGTCCAGTCCATTGCTTACTAATTTTTGTTTCACGTTCATTGTCATACTTTGCGCAGAATAAATAAATTGTACTCAGAGATGGATGCTTCATTTTACACTTCTTGGAGATAAGCAAGTACCAGAACATTCTCTTCGATTTCACGTTCGTCTACATTTCGCATATATTTTCAATGAAGAATTCTGATACAAACGAATATTGTTTGAATAATTCTGATACGAAATTTGGAAATAACAGTTGACATTCAATACAATTGACAGGCCAGACATGTCTCAAATTACTGAACCTGTGTTTAATGAACTGCGTTGCCATGCTAATGTGTTTAAGAGATCGTGTTGCCATGGTAACGTGTTTAATATTTTGAATAAATCACAGATCGTCAATCCGTGATTGATCGATCATTTAGCGTGGTACATAACCGTACGCTAAATGCCATTTTAGTTATGTGAGTAGAAAAACTAAGTTTGATTGTCTCGTGTGATGACCACAAATTTCCGAGTTCCTTTTGACATGCAGTGAAAGTCACGTGACCTCGACCGGATAGTCCATTTTTCCATATTTTTCAAAGCAAAACTAAACGCCCAAGTCTAATTGAAGAGTGGAAATTCAAAAGGATGTAAGTGCCAAAAAATTCAAACTGAGATATAACATAAAACATGCCTAACAAATTGAAATAATAAAAAAAACTTTATAGAAATGTTTATTGAGTACAGAAACACGATCATATGAACTACATACATAGTTACATATAGAAAAACAAAAACTTATATGAAAAACACTAACTCAAACATGACAACTGCTAGAAGGTCCAAAGTGCCAAGAACAAGAAATCGTGAAAAGGGTCTATGTCCGGAGTAGTATTTTACTGTGATTCTGTTCTTTCTATGAGATCTTCATAAAACGGAATAGACCTCAATGGAATATAGTCCATCATGTTTTTCAGATTTTTGAGCTTCTCTGCTCTGCCCCATAAGAAAAGTAATCTGCTTATCGTGATTTGCAACATCATAAAATTGTTGGAATAATGAGTTTCTCTGGTTGCATGATAAAGATTTGTAGGAATATTTACAAGAACAAGTTACCTGCAACAAGAGCATAATGTGAGTATACTTAGTTTACTGATTTTGAGGTTACCTCTTGTTCAGGTGGATTTTTAGCCGGTATAAGGACATTTTTATAATTTGTATGTCAGCCACTAACTCTGCTTTTTTTCTCTCATTTCTAACACTCTCAGTACCATTCTGCCACCTTTTTACTGCAATATTGCCATCTTGTACATCACCACGTGCGTCCATCTTGTATACTAACAATGTGAATTATTTGGAACTTAGACCCTTTTAACGTACTAACTAACAAGTACTGGCGCTTCGACCCTGCGCAGCTTTCTACATCACAAAATAATTACTGCCTATGGCAAATGGCACATTGGCCGTTTTGTATGGTATTGGCCTTGGCACATAGACCCCATAATAAGTGAAATCTAAAATTTGGTGAAAACGGCACTAAGACCCTTTTGAATTTCTACTCTTCAATTTTGAAAACAAATACCATTTGAAAGTTTTTCCCATATTATGATGCTGACTTTATGAAAGACAGTGTATCAGATATGCATTTCCTCACCCCCTCCACGTAGTTCCTGACGTCGACCTTCTCGTTCTGCGAATGCGCCCCATCGTCGCCCGCCCCCACCGGCAGCAGCAGCACGTTCTTGCCGGTGACGGCCTGCAGCGACAGCGTGACGGGGATGGAGCCGCCCTCGCGCGTCAGGTCCGGCTCCACCTCGTACACGTGCCGGGTGGCGGCGGCGGCGGCGGCGTAGTGGGGGTGCGAGGGGTCCTCCGTCCACGGATGGCCGCCGTCGGCCATGAAAACCTACGAGAGATTTGTTTTTTTTTATTTTTTTGTTGGCAACATGATGATACATGTTGTTGAAACATGAGATTTATCTATAGAATCAATGAAGAAGAATTGCAATTCTCACATCAACTTTCATGTTATTATCATATATCATATAACCATACAAATACAGTCCACTGTCTATCAAGCATCGAACATTTTGGTCCTTCGAGCCGGATCTATTATTTATCAAACATATCTTCCAGTCAGAACAAGTTCTGGTATAAGAAAGAACATAATCATGAAATAATAAGTAATAAATATCTATGAATTACTACACAAACATGAAATTTTCAGAGTCTCTAATCTGTACAGTTCTTCTAAAGAATATGTTTTCGTTGAGGCATACAGTTTAGTTGTTGGTGTATCATATGGAAGACGATACAGTACTTTTATTGATTTCCTATATAATGTTGATATTTTATTAAAATTATTTTTAGAACAAGATCCCCAAACATTTATTGAATTGTTAATTCGACTTTGTATATATGAATATATACTTACAATTTTCATATTGAGTTTGGGACATCTTCTCAATGCACCAATAATAGGAGATATTTTCTTTGTAAGAACCTTAATATGTTTGTCCCACTTCAATTTTTCATCAAACCAAATACCTAAACACTTTATCTGTTCAGTTTGTTTCAAGACTTCATTCTTTATTTGAAGATTGAGCTGAAATTTCCTGTTTATTTTTTTATTGAAAAATCATGTATTCAGTTTTTCTGGTATTTATTAATAAAAGGTTAGAAAATGGCTTCATTTTTCAAATAATTTCAGATCGTTATTTATCACAGTTTCTAAAATTAGAGGATTTTTGTTTTCATATAAAAGCACTGTATCATCTGCATACAGGGTGATTCACGGTGGATGGCACATTAGACATTTCTGGAGAACGCAACTCAGGATTATTCTGAAAAGTTCAGACATCGGATAATTAGTTGTGTTCTATCGACCTATAATATTCTCAGTGTTGCGACGTTGCCGCTTATATTGAAAAGTAGCAACAACTTTGATTTTTCAAATGGGACACCCTGCATATCATTCCATTTTCAGATTCTCCCTGAAGAGCTGATTTCATCGATCTATCATACTTGGGATCTAGCGGAAATGATAACAAAGATATAGGGTGTGAAAAATAGAGATATTTCAACATTAGGAATTTTTTGTGTCGAAACTATTCATCATTGGTTAAAACGGTTTCCATGTCCCTATCTTAACTTTTTACGTACTATCAATTGATATTCAATTGAAATATAATATCGACACGAAAAATTCCTAAAGTTGAAAAATCTCGATTTTTCACATCCGATAACTCTGTATTTATTACAGCTAGACCACAAGTGTTATAGGTCAATTGAATCAGCTTTTCAGGGAGAATCTGAAAATGGAATAATATACAGGGTGTCCCATTTGAAAAATCAAAGTTGTTGCTACTTTTCAATATAAGCGGCAACGTTGCAACACTGAGAATATTTTAGGTCGACAGAACACAACTAATTATCCAAGGCATCAACTTTTCAGAAGAATCCTAAGTTGCATTCTCCAGAAACGTCTAATGTGCCATCCACCGTGAATCAGCCTGTATATGGTATAATTACTCGCTAAACCAACTTTCGTGATATTTTGAATATAAAGCGGATACACAGTATTGGTCCTAAAACAAATCCTTGTGGAACAACCTTATTCATTGACAGTATATGAGACTTAGAATTAGCAGATTTGGTACTAATTGTCCTATTTTCAAGATATGAAGCTAAAATATTTCTCACAATGCCTTTAAGTCCCATGGATTCCAAGTTATCCAGAAGTATTGTGTGGTCCACTGTATCAAAAGCCTTTTTTAGATCAATGAAAACAGCTACTATGTAATTTCCTTCATCAATTCCTTTTTGAATTGCTTCTATCACTTGTAATACTGCCGCTTGAGTGCCACTATTTTCTTGAAAACCAAACTGATTTATCTATACGAATCAAACCTTCAAGACTGCCCTCTGGCGCAGCATTTAGTGCGGAATTGAAATGAACACAACAATAGGTTTATTCCTTCTATGTCACAGAACTGGATAGACATGATTCCGAGTACAGAAAGCTGTTCCATTTGGGAAATTCGATATCATTGATTGCTTGTGTATTATTCCATTAAACAATTGTGAGAATCATTATTTTGCGATCCTTATTTGAATTGTCAAACACATCAATTTTGTTTGGCTATTTTAAGAGTATTTTCGGAAAATGTTTGAATAACAGTTTACCCGTTAGGTTCGTTATCTATGGAAAGTTAGAGCAAGATACCATTGTAGACCACTATTTATCCAACCAGAAATTGATTTTTTTAAATTGACCGGCCGTTACATAGCAAATGGAAAAAACTTCACAATTTTGCCACAAACATGCATTTTAATCCTTAAAACTACCTGTCTGATTCATATCAAACAGCTTTCTAATGGAAATATTGACACTCATCATATATGCAGATGAGAACAAAATTTCTCTGCCAATACTCAAAACATCTCTCACAAAAAATTCAGTTATATAATATGAAAAAAAAACCAAAATATTCAGGAAGGGTATTTAAGACTTCCTCATTTCAAAGGCATGTTATAACCTGCATATTAAGTGTTCTTATATTATATTCATTCAATTATATTGTTAGCTATATTTTGTATGTATCTATAATTGTTTTTGTTTATGCATTGTTGTTATATACGAATTTTAATTGATAACTTCCTATACATTATGTATAGTTATTTTGTACTGTAGTGTCATTCTTTCTTTTTTTGACGAAATGGATCCTTTCCCTACAGATATCATTCAAACTTTGTCAATAAGAACAATATTCTTGGACAAGCACAGATTGATTGATTTATTGATATTATCATTATTTTTTTTAGTACAGGGTCTCTATAAATTATCGTAACATCATAGTGGCCGTTGAAATATTATATTGATTTGCCGCTTTCTACTTATGGACGTCGAACTATAAAATATTCGGTACTTTCAATGCCTGTAAACAACATTAGGCACTATTTCAAGGGCCACTACGATGCTACGATCATTTATAAAAACCATTCGAAAGAAAAAGTGGGTGTTTGTGTGTGTGTGTGTGTGTGTAAAAAAAATAACTCACCTTCATTTTATTCGGACTGCCCCTACTCTTCCACAACTTCTGCACGTAATCGACGACGTACTTTTCAATCTTATCGGGAGTCTGGTTGGGTACGATTCTGATAGAAAACTTGCCTGTTACCTTTCCGGGTATCACAGTTTTCTGTCCGGCTTCGCTGAAAGCTCCTTCAATGCCGTGGATCGACAGAGAGGGGTACCTGCAAATCAAAGGAAAAACCATCTTCACAAGGTGACCTAAAAACGAGACTCGAAAAAAATCCACTGGCTTTTAATGGACATGTAGTAGACTGAAGACTTCTGGGGGTTGCTCGTAAGAGGACAAACGAATGATGGATAAAAACAATTTCAAGAACAATTTTCAAGCGACCAGTCGAAAACATTCGTATTTGTCATTGTCTGGGTCTAGCGGGAATGATTACAGAGATATAGAGTGTTCAAAATCGAGATTTTTCAACTTTAGGATTTGTTTTGTGACGAAACTATTCATTATCGGTCAAAACGGCTTTCATGTCCGTATCTTAACTTTTGATTTAGTATCTACTGAACCTAAAAATACAATGAAATACAGGGTGTTCCATTTAAAAAAATCAAGTAGTACTCTGTAGATCGTTTGTTTCGAGCACCCTGTATTTTCTGATGCAAATAAGTGAGCTAGAGGGGGGGAAATTTATGGTGAATCACCCTGTACGCACAAATCCAGATGTCTATCGAAAAATGATATGATAGCACAATGCTGTGAATCATAAAAAATCAACCTACAACTATTCCTCACAATTGCATGAATCAAATTATTGAACTAGCTTCCCTAAAAAAATTCCAGCTAACTTTACATAAACCTATTTTTATCACAAACTCATATTTGTTAAAGAACTTCTTCTTCCACTTGCCCCTTCAGTTGTCTAGGACATGTTGAAAACCGATGAAAATCATTACTTGAAAGTTGCATACTTTGAAAAAAAAAAAAACGTTGCACAAAATCTGTCACTGCCAGTGTATAATTACCTCCAACGGTGCATCAGCAGTTGTTCCTTCACCTCCTTGTGCATCAGCCTGTCGGTGCCGACGTCTTTGCGGTACTCGGCCACGTCGAATTCGATCTTCTCGTAGATGCTGTTCTCGCCATCCATGAGGGGCGCCACGTCCTTGTACAGGTCCGTAACGAGGATTTTGCCCTCCTTATCGACCAGGTTATCCAGCACGTACACGAGGTCGGTCATCGCTTCGTGTCTGTCGAACGAAAGACGAAATTAAGAAAAAAAAATGGAAAAAAGAGAATTGCTGAACAAGGAAGGATGAAGAGGGAACAGGCTGGAACAAAAAAACGACGAAAGATAAGTAGAATAAGCAGAAAGAGGAAGAAAACAGAAAGAGGAAAAAAAAGAAATGAAAGAAGCATAGGCATATGAAGAGGGGAGAAGAAATTGTTTACATTTTGTCCCGACTCAACATCGTTTTCTGCTCATCGTCTCATATCGAGAAGAAACTGAAGGGTCATCGATATTAGAGTCACTGGATGGTATTAGTTTGATAAGAGTTCGGACACAGAAATGACAACAGTTAGGGTTTTTGAATGTTTAGATTTATAAAGTTACACACCTTGCATTGTGACAAGAGCACCATAGTCGTCCCGCACTTTTTCATTTAAAATTTTATGAATTTGACAATTCATTTTATAAACGACGTCAGAATTGAAATAAAATTTCATAATTATTATACTTTCGAGATAAAAGCATCTATGGAAATCACTTGCTGTATAATAAATTGTGCCAATTTTGAAACAAATGGATATCATTTATTCCATTTTCCAAATCAAATATCAAGCATTCGCTTATGGAAGGAAGATATGAATCGGCCTGGGTGGAAAATCAATTTGAAGACGAGCGAAATTTGTGAGGTAGGTACCAATTGAAATTCACTTCTTATAACAGCATATGATTAGAATGAATCTAAATTTTAGGCCCATTTTCAAACAGAAGATTTCAAAATCTGTTTGAGAGAATCTGCAGTTCCATCAATTTACAAAGCAGACGATTTCAAGAACAAAATTCCATTATTATCATCACACAAAATACAAAACAAAATAATCATGGAAAAAGGGGAAATGATCGCAAAATTACATTATGAAATTGAGAATTTGAAAACGAAACTAAGAAAAGCAAGTAAACCACAACGTGATATATTATTGAATGGCGTTTTTGGTGCTGACCGCGAATTCGAAACTCAACAGTGAAAAGTGAATAGATATTTATGTATCAAGAGAATTATTATAAGGGCATTAATTACGCTGGAGGTTATCGTTTTGGAGATATTTTCTATATCGATCCATGTTACTTAGCTCCGAGGGCGCTAAGTGAAGTTGCTAAGAACTTAAGAAAACCAAGTATTGGGTAGGTCACGTCAAAATAAATAACTTTTTCCCCATGAAATATTTATCGAAAAATGATTTGTTCTCTGTATTTCAACACCCTCTATCTCCGAAATAAAGCATTTCCAGACACAAGTTTATATAGACTTTATTTCTTAAAATTGTCTCAGGAATTCTTCACATACAATAAGAAATCATAGCTATAAGTTTATCCATATGTATATATTCTCTGATATTAAAATGTTGTTACATGCATTTTTTTCATTTATATAAATCTTGCTCTGCTAGAAGTGTATCACTATGAATTGAAGTAAGTGTTTGTACCCTATATCCATTGTCCATCTACGGCTATGATTGATTTGACAGAAAATATAACCTCTAAAATCGTATCTGACAATCAGGCGCTACTAGGGGAATTGAAAAGACAAAGAATACGAATAACGAGATCACAGGTGTTTGTGTATGTTAAATGTGCTCCCCGATAATCAGTGATATCTAATGGAATACTTGATGGAATGATTTACATTTTGGACAACATGAAGTGCAAATCCTGTTACACCATCTTGTGAAATTTGGTAAGCTGAAAATAACTATATGATCTATAAATTGATCAATCAGTTTTGATGGCTTAGCCGCACATTCAAATAAAAGCACCTACTTTTTGCGACAAAAAGTGTTAATACATATAAAAACACTATCTGATAAGGCTGTCGACAAAATACATCATTTAGTACGGTCACTGTGGGTCAAGTTCTGATCGAAAACTGCTCGTTGATCGCTGTGGAACATGCCGGACTTGACGAATCGAGAATTACTGGAGATATTGAAGGCCGATAATAAAGCTCTCGAAAATAAATTTGATGATTTAGCATCAAGTGTGGAGAATAAACTCACAATTGCTAACAAGCTGATAGAAGATCTGCGAACCGAAAACTCCACTTTGAAAACGAAAGTGGATAATCTTGAAGATAGGCTGAGACGCAATAATACTGTTGTTTTCGGTCTTCAAGAGCCAGCTGATTCCAATACTCTACTAGATGGTGCACTTAAACAGCTTAATGACTTATTGGGAATGAACATTGATCCACTTCGTGATATCAACAATATTTACAAGATTGGAAACCCGCAAAACGCCGACCGACCTACCCTTATTGAATTTTCTACCTACCTCATGAAACAAAAAGTTCTTAGTAACGGCCACAAACTGAAAAATACTAACGTTTATATCAATCACGATCTCTCTAAAGAGAACCGAGAAATCCAAAAGGTCCTTCGCAAATACCTCAGACTAGCCAGATCAAAGAATATTGAAGCGAAAATAAAGAAAAATAGCCTATTGATTGAAAATAAGGAATATACCTACAATGAGCTAATGGACGAAGAACTCGTGAAAGCCATATTCAATCCCCCCGACCGCAGTCGAAAGGAGTACACGCACACGGATTCGAGAAAACCCTCAACAAGAAGTACCACCAGTCGCCACTAACAGAGAACTTGAAATTGACATTTTGTTGTTGTATTTCACTTTTTTATAGTTCTTGTCATAACAGTGATTAAAAAAAATGGTGCTAAAAATTTCTCACATAAATTCAAGATCATTGTTAAGCCAATTTGCTAATTTCAAAGATATTGTTTATAATAAATATGATATAATTTCTGTATCTGAGACCTGGCTCCACTCCGACATAACAGATGCTTGTGTTCAACTACCAGGTTATACATTCTACAGGCTGGACCGCATAGGGCGCGGAGGTGGTGTTGCTATCTACATCAAATCTAACTTGACTGGCCGGATCATAAAAACTAATCTATTAATAGTCTCTGAACAACTATGGGTCAGTTTCAAAACAGATAACAAAACATTTCTCGTAGGCACGGTTTACAGGCCCGATGACTTTCCCGTTACTTCCTTTATAGATGAACTGCAAACTGTTTTGTCTGAAATTAGCTACAAATTTGATTACGTAATTATAATGGGGGATGTGAACATTGATCTTTTCAATCCAGGTAACATCAATTCAAATAGTCTGCTCGAGTTAGGAAATAGTTTTGAGTTGAAGCAAATCGTCACTGAACCTACACGAATAACGCAACTTACTATGAAGCTCATAGACGTGATTTTTTGTTCAGAATCACTTAAAATAAGTAATGTAAAAAACGTTGATTGCTCAACTTTCACTGATCACTTTTTAGTTTCCTGCTCAATTACCACAAACAAACCAAAAATTACTCCTTTCAATCACACCTACAGGAATTTCCGGAATTTCGATAAAGATGCATTCATGGCAGATTTAACATGTGCTGATTTTGAACGAATTCAATTTCTTACTAACATTGACGATAAGGTTAACGAATTCAATCATCTGCTACTTTCGGTATTTGCTACACATGCTCCTTATCGAACAGTAAGAATCAGTAAAAAAAATGCACCCTGGCTCACGGACAATCTCAAATTTATGATGCACATTCGTGACAAAGCACTCAGCAAATTCAAAAGAACTAAACGTCAAGGTCACTGGGAATACTATAAAGATTTACGTAACTTAACAAACAAAACTATAACTCTCGAAAAAAAAGCCTATTTAGAACAAAAAGTACAATCTGGTAACAAACATTTATGGAAGGAATTGAAAAATATGAACCTTACTAAAGTAGATCAAGACCGTTGCATACCAAACCACCTCTCTGATGTCAATTTAATAAACAAATATTTCATTAGTAGCTCAAGAGGTGAATCGAATATCGACCAAGAAACAATGAATTACTACAATTCAAATATCTCTAATGATCTCAACTTCGAATTCAAAACAATTGACGAGAGCGAAGTGTATCGTAGTATACTTTCTATCAAGTCAAAAGCAGTAGGGTCAGATGGTATTTCCATTTCTATGTTATTATTGGGTTGTCCTTATCTACTACAATTTATCAAGCATATTTTCAACTATTGCATAACAAATTCTGTTTATCCCTCCGCTTGGAAGACTGCAAATGTTATACCCTTACCTAAGACTGAAGCTCCCGAAGACTACAAGGATCTTCGTCCGATAAGTCTGTTACCCACCTTATCCAAAGTCTTTGAGAAAACGATCGATAAACAAATTCGCATATTTTCCGAGGAAAATAGTATTTTACCAGAGTGTCAGTCTGGATTTAGACCGGCACATAGTTGTGTTACTGCTGTCTTGAAGGTGATAGATGACGTTCTCCACGCGGTTGACTCGAATAAACTTTGTGTGTTGATTCTGCTTGATTACTCCAAAGCTTTCGACAGGATAAATCATGCTTTGTTGGTGAGTATTCTAAAATATTTAGGGTTCTCTAATAAAGCATGTCTTTTAGTTAATGGATATCTAACGAATCGCTTTCAAAGAGTAATCCTTGAAAAAGCACAATCTGAGTGGATTGAAGTAGAAAATGGGGTTCCTCAGGGGTCCATTCTGGGTCCCTTACTTTTTATTCTCTACACAAGTCAACTTGTTAAATCTATGGAACATTGCTCTAGCCACTTCTACGCTGATGATACTCAGCTATATTATCAATTTGAGGAACGTCATCTAGATCTGTCATTAATACACATAAATAGTGACCTCGAATCGCTGCTTTCGTCTTCGGAGAAGCTAGGTTTAACAATCAACGCATCCAAGTCAAATGTGATGTTATTTGGTAGAAATGTCATGAGAAAACGTTGTGCAAATCGTATACAGATCACTCTTAATGGTGATACACTGCCAATTCAAGAGTCCTGTAAGAATCTGGGTTTAATAATTGATACAGATCTCAGATTCTCCTCTCATGTTTCCATGATAATTCGTAGAGGGTTTAATAATCTGAGATTGATATATTCAAATAAAAAAATGCTTAACAAAAATTCTAGAATACTACTTTGCAATGCTTTGGTTCTGTCGCACCTCAATTACGGTGATGCCATTTATGGTCCAAATATCCGTCAATCAGACTCAGCACGCTTACAAAAGCTTCAGAACTCTTGTGCCCGAATGGTTTGCGGGGTCAGAAGAAGAGAACATATTTCCAATCATATTCGAAGCATTGGTTGGCTAACCACAAAACAACGCCGAACACTCAATGCATGTAATCTTTTTCATTCCATCATAAAGTCTCATAAACCACCCTATTTGTATAATAACATCCGTTTCAGAACCGATATACATAACATCAATATACGTAACAAAAATAAAATAACAATACCAAAACATAAAACGCATGCATTTCAAGGTTCTTTTTCGTATAACGTAAGCAAACTGTACAATTGGATTCCTGAGAAATATAAATATATGAACCAATACCGATTTACCAGAGAACTCAAAAACGATGTATTCAGTGGTGTTTTAACTCTACCAGAATAGATCATTTATTGAAATACTCTATCCTTTCATGCTGAATAAATATAATGAATATTAAGTGTCAGTTATATCACTGATGTATTTGATGTATTTAATTTTAAGTTTTTCTCTTTCATATTGTTATCAGTTAATATCACTGATGTATTTGATGTATTCAATTTTAAGTTTTTCTCTTTTATATTGTTATCATTTTCTGGGTAAAATTTCATGATTTTCAGTGGGATGATCTTATATTCATCACTATCTGAGGTTGAGTGGAAGAGCAGGCTCTTTAGATCTCGCTTCGTGTGACTTCTAACTAGACTGAACTCTGCCTTTTGACCAGTCTGTTTATATAAATATCTATGTTTGTTTATTCTGTTAATTTTGAAGACTGTCAATAAAAACTATTATTATTATTATTATTATTATATGTCTTATTCTTTTATTCACCTAAACCATTGTATTATAGAAAATAGAAAAGGACAAAAGTTCAGCTGTGTCCGAACTCTTATCAAACTAATACCATCCAGTGACTCTAATCGATATCATCCACTTAAATACTGCCTGTAGTGTTAAAAAGAGGAGGGGAAATGGAAACAACACAAAAATCATCTCAACAAATGTGACTACACTTACACTGTACCACCATAAACGCCGCTATGCAAATCCTTGGCGGCACCCTCCACCTCGACGAAGAAATAGCAAACGCCTCGCAGCCCATAGGTCAGACACGGCCTCGTCGTGCCCAGCCAATAGTTGTCCGATATGCACACGTAATCGACGTCGGACAAGAACCTATGGTAATTAATTAGTTTATATACATATCCTACAACTGCCAAAAAACGGAACTTTTCAAATATTCACTCACCGGCAAGGAAAAACCGGTTCCAACAAAATTTTGACAAATTGTTCGCCCTGTCTCTTTTTTTTTAATTCTTCTCTGATTATGGTGTAATTTCGACCAAATCGTATATTCATGTTTCGGAATGTCAGTCTGAATATTAGTTTTTTTTTTAATTGACTCGGCCGTTAGAGTCCGACCACGATAACTTTGGGACAGCACGTGGTCGCGTATGCATTGAATATGCATATGCGTTGCGTCACATGCTGTCCCAAAGTTAACGTGGTCGGACTCTACTTGATGTAAATCCATGGCAAATGTGAAAACTTCACAAACGATAAGATTTCCACGAAATTCTCAAACACACGACATGTTTCGCGAACACAGTAGCTTCGTCAGGTGATATACTGGTACAATAAACTGAATTAACCTTGGCTTCCTTAATTTTTATATATCCTACTTTCCCAACCTGACGAATTAATTACCTGTGGACAGGTTCGACAAACCTTCATTTTAGGCACAATATCTACATTGAAATATGGTGTACCGGATTAACTTGAAAGGGTTGATAGCAAATACATATTATTACCAACTGAGAAAACAAATTTCAGTTTCATTCCTTTATTTTCTACGTGTAGAATTTCGAAGTTTTGATGATAATTTCGGGAATTCGAAATCGAGAAGGACATACTCGTTATTGACTACAGGTCTGCTTTTCGTTTGTTTTTTGTAATCAAGGTTTTTCCGGTAGCTATGAGGTAGAAATGAGTACAATTCTTCATGTTGAATTTAGTTATATTACACCCTGTTTTTATTGAATTGTGTGCCGTTATTTGCGCTGTAATTAACACTTCAAGTTGTTGATCAATAAGTTTATCTTCTCATCAAATTAAGATATTGACGTGAATCAATAGTTATTTGTTTAACTAGGCAGCAAAGTAGTAGATTGACTGCCGAGGCTGAATTCATAGCCGAGCTGAATTCAGCCTCGGCAGTCAATCTACTTTGCTGCCGAGTTGAACATATAATTTTTTCTCCGATTGTTCATAATTATATAGGAGGATATTGTATTTGCAAATTATTACAATGCCCACAATATCTTTATTTTTCCTGTAGTGTTCAATTAAAATGAAATTTGATAGAAATCGCAGTTGTCCATGATAATTATGGTTTGACAATTCATGAAAATTCTGACAGTTGTGCGAAAAAATATCGGTATATTTAAATTATTATATAATGGACAGTGATAGCGACCTGGAAGTACTTAAACCTCCAGAAATAAGGGAGGTGGCAAAAAATATAGAGTTGAATTTGTAGCTGGGGAAGTCTCGAAATATGAAGGAAATTATAAACGATTTATGGATTATTAATTTTGCTGATACATATCAATCAGCAAAGTAATCACTTTGCTGCCTAGGCAGGAAAAGTAATACTTTGCTGATTGATATGAGTCAGCAAAATCAATATTTGCTGCCAATCGGAGAAAAAAACTATTGTGTGGAGAAGGAAACACACTTCAATCCAAAGCATAATGAAGCCAAGTTCAACCACTCAAATTCGCCACAGGGCGTTAAAAAGTAATGGGTGAAGAAGTAACTTTGACACAAAGAGAGAGAAACTCAAAGTCATTACCACACTAGTTCATGAAATGAACGAAAATGGTAGATAACGAGAGAAAAACAACTACTTTCCTGGCTATATGCCAAGCAGAACATTGGAATACATCCTCCCGAAATCTATGCAATAATTCGTATGGACGAATAAAATCGCAAGTGTTTCCTTCCTAAACGCTGAGCTGCGCTCAAGGAAAATACGCCAGTCGGGCAACCAGCCACTTCCAGTTCACCTGGAATGGGATCTTGTTTTGTTCCTCTCCTAGCCAGGTGGCGTTCGGCGTTCGCGTTTTCATTTCGCGGACTTCGAACGCCTCGTATGGTATAAATGCTGAGATGCGTTTACGTTGGGTCAGGTTCGCACCAGAAAGCGGTCAAGAAGCTATCTGGGACAGCCCTGTCACGCGTTCCTGAATCACTTAAGCGCAGCTCAGCGTTTAGCAACGAAACACTTGCGATTTTATTCGTCTATACAGTCTGTATAATATTTCTTTGCGTGTGATTGAAATTAGCATAGACCTACATGCAACTTGCTATCCTCTTCAGACTTGCATATAGAGCAGCAATATCTATCATAACGTTTGTTGATATAAGTTACGACATCGTTTCTGAACTCAACGGGTTAAAAGCTTGAATACAGAGGTGTTCGTATGTCGAGACACATTTGAATCGGCTAATTCAGAGGCGTGCAGTAGGTGCTGAAATGACATCGTTTTGCGTGGCCATTGTCAAATATTCAACAAGCCAGGAAGACGTTTGAATTCGCGAGCACGAAGTCTTGTATCGAATTTGTTTCAATATTTCACAAGAGAGAAAGATAATAAGGGTCCCTTATGATGTACATAATTTTAGCTTGTCGCTGATGCCCTCAATATTAATCTGCGGACAGTTTCGAGTAATGAAGTACAGGGTGATTCACCATAATTGTCCCCCCCCTCTAGCTCACTTATTTTCGACCCGATTTAAAAATTTGAAGGATGATCTAAAATGATTTCTCAGAATTTTTTTTCCCGTTTCATCAGGAACCACAGGGTGCTCGGAACAAATGATCTACAGAGTACTACTCGATTTTTCCAAATGGAACACCCTGTATTTCATTGTATTTTTAGATTCTTCCTGAAGAGCTGATTTCATCAATGCATCACACTTGGGGTCTAGCGGGAATGATAACAGAGATATAGGGTGTTCAAAATCGAGATTTTTCAAGTTTAGGATTTTTTTGTCTCGAAACTATTCATTATTGGTCGAAACGGCTCCTATGTTTCCATCTTAATTTTTGATTAACTGTCTACTGAGATTTGATTGGAACATTTACAGGGTGGTTTGAGATTCAGAATTCTGATCACCCTGTATCTGTTCCAATTATTAAATAACAGTAAATAGAAAATCAAAAGTTGAGATATGGACATGAAAGCCGTTTTGACCGATGATGAATAGTTTCGTCTCAAAAAAATCCTAAAGTTGAAAAATCTCGATTTTGAACACCCTATATCTCTGTAATCATTCCCGATAGACCCCAAGTGTGATACATTGAGCAAATCAGCTTTTCAGGGAGAATCTAAAAATACAATGAAAAATAGGGTGTTCCATATAAAAAAATCAAATGGTACCCTGTAGATCGTTTGTTCTGAGCACCCTTTATTTTCTGATGTAGCGGAAAAAAACTCAATCAAAAATCATTCAAGATGATATTTCAAATTTTGAAATCGGTTTAAAAATAACTGAGCTAGAGGGGGGGACATTTATGGTGAATCACCCTGTACGTTCTGAGAGAAACAAAAGTTTGGGTGCGCCAGGGAAATCTAGGACTAAAAAAACCCAAGACAGTAGATCTGGATGATAATTTGAAAATGGAAGTACGCAATGTGATCTATACTATGTATGCAGAAAGTAAGTGATTTCATTTGATACTTATAGACTACCTTCAACTGACTATTTTACAGAAAAACACATCACTTAGAATTTTGAAAGAAGAACTCAGAACTGAACATATTCTTGATGCAAGTAGGCACATTGAGCAAACTTTTCTCAAATGTAGTATTCAAATATAAAAAAAGAAGACAACAGGCGGTTATTGGTTGAGAAGACGGATATAACTATAATGAGAGCAGTTTTTCAGAAAGTTTTATGAAAATCGCAATTCAGATTACCCTAGTCTTCTTAGATGAAACCTGAATATTTGTGAAAGGGAATAAGATGAGATCATGGCAAGATCAAAATACAAAAAGCGTTCGTAAACCAGAAGGTTATGATGGGAAACGATTTGTTTTTGCTTTCAATAAATTGACAAATTAAAGAGTTGAAACTTGAAATATATAGCAATCTTATGTTTTATTGAATGTTTCTTAGTCAAAACTACCAGGTGTAGTGAATAAAAATTTTCTGAACATATGACCTTGAATTGATTCGTTTCGTTTTTTGAAGTTGTGACGTACGTGAAAAGAAATATTATACAGACTGTATGAACTATTGCATAGATTTCGGGAGGATGTAATCCGATGTTCTGCGTGGCATATAGCCAGGAAAGTAGTTGTTTTTCTCTCGTTATCTACCATTTTTGTTCATTTCATGAACTATTGTGGTAATGACTTTGAGTTTCTCTCTCTTTGTGTCAAAGTTACTTCTTCACCCATTATTTCTTAACGCCCTGTGGCGAATTTGAGTGGATGAACTTGGCTTCATTATGCTTTGGATTGGAGTGTTTTCCCTTCTCAACACAATAGTTTTTGATTCACGTCAATATCTTATTTTGATGAGCAGATAAACTCATTGATCAACAACTGATCTTTGTGACCATTGCATTCCACTTTAAGTATCTGGCTTTTTCCCTAGTTGGAAATAACTTTGAGTATGGACTCTTGTGCGGATTGTCATTGTTTCACATTAGGCCCTTCAAATCGTATCCACGTACCCTTCTCTTTCGCTCTCCAGCAGAGCGTCGAGACCAACGCTGCCGCTCTCCTCCATGCCCTCGAACACGAACCGGACGTTGACCGGCACCGGCTCGCCGGTCGCTTGGAAGCCGGCGATGGCGTGCAGCCAACAGAGGACGGGGCCTTTGTCGTCTGAGGAGCCTCGACCGAACAGTTTGCCTAAGGGAAGAGAAACGAGATTTTTTTCATGAATTTTATTATAGTCCTGGGGTGCTATTTTCATTCAGAAATAAATGATTTCGTGGATGTTTGCTCGATTGAGGACCATAAAGTTGAAATATAAATATCTCATATATTTTACATAACAATGCCCGAAGTAGGTACTCCACGCTGTTTTACTTGTTTTGTGCGAGGTATCATGGTAACATAGGAAACTGAAAAAAGTGTCACTTCGCAATTTGTTATCAATGCGCGAACCTTGTCATTTTTTTATGTTTGAAGAAAAACAACGTTTGCGAGGTCTGCTAGTTTTTTATAAAAATCCTGAAATATCTGGTAAAACGAATGTACCACCTCCTCCAATAATCTACAGACAGTATTATTATTATTATTACCGTCTTTCTCCGTCAACTCGAACGGCTCCGTATTCCACCCGTCATCCTTGTGGGCGGGCTGAACATCCAAGTGGCCGTACACCAACACCGTCCTCTTCTTAGGGTCCCGCCCCAAACTGCCCAACAGCACGGGCGGCAACGGGATCGACTGCCCGTCGGGCAGCGTCTGCGCACCGAGGTCGCGCAGCTGCGTCTCTGCGCCGAGCTGGAAGACAGAGTGTTGCCAAGTTAAAAAAAAAACCAACACCTACCTCCTCCAGGAGAAAAAAGTTTACCAACTGATGAATCTTCATCAACTGATCGATTTGTTAGAAACGACACAGAAGGTTTGTTCTCGTTCGAAAAATAGACAGTCCGAAACCATCGGAAGCATGCGCAGTTACACGAACTCTTAAAAAGACAAGACTTCAGCATGAACAGATAAGACTTTTTTCGATTTTGATCTGAATACTATTATAATAATGAAATTTAAAGTTCCCTAACAAAGGGGTTCCGCAATAATTGTGGTCCCCATTCAACTTTTTTATATTTATCTAAAATATTTTCCATAATCTGAATATGTGAACATAACTTTTTTCCTCCAGAACAGTGCTCCTATGTAACAATAACGCTGATGATGAAGCTTTAAAGCTTCGAAACATGTCCCTGTAAGTTTGCTTACAATAAAGTATAGTTTTGGTGGAGTAGACTGTAAGTATTTTGTCCTGTCCTATTGCCTTCACTCCACTGTAAGATGGATCGCCTCAGATGGTCAAACTAGGATAATGCATCAATTAAATAGTGAAAAAATTATTGAGCTACCTACAATGAGTCCGAAATATTACTCATGTTCCAGTCGTGGGTCCGTTGATATTTCGAAAACTTTTATTTCTTTTTGTATTTGTTGGTAGGTAGTGCATTTGTCTTTGAAAAAAATAAAGAGGTGAAAATTTTTTCAAAGCCTCCATGATGGTAGTGGAATAACTCGAACCATGATTTATTCTCAATTTTTGACTCACCCTGTGTGTTAATTGAGTAATGGCATAGAAAGTGCTTGCACCCTATACGAAAGAGGCTTCTTTTGCGAGCATTTTGTTGTTTCATTCATTGATTTATCTCTAAAATTTTCCGAATTACAGCTTTTTTTGCTGAATCCTTGCAGATTACCAACTTTCTGAATTTATCGAGACACAATTTTCTAATGAAATGAACTGATACCAATAATTTTAAAAACATTTTTATTAAACACAAAATTATTAATTGGGATGACTGCTTAATACCGTGTATTGCCTCCTCTAGCAACTCTAAGAACTTATAATCTACGAGGCATACTGGAAATTAAGTTGCTTATTGTTTCCATTGGTATACGATCAATATAAAATTATTGCCCACTAACTCTGCATAAGGTAAGACATACTGCTCTAAAATGTCAATGTAAATTTAGGCATTCATCGACTGCCTCACCGGAAAAACATGAAGGGGTGTCTTTCCATTCATTGAAATCCCTCCCCACACCATAACAGACCCACCATTAAAACTTTCGCATTCTGTTATTAAATTTTGATCAAACCGCGTTCACCAGTACTTCTCCACACTCTTTTTCTTCCATCCACCATGTTAAGGCAGAACCTTGACTCATCCGTAAACAAGACATTCGACCATTCAGGAATATTCCACTGTCCATAATTTTCAACAAAATTTCTTCTAGCAGCACGATTTTTGGGCAATGATTTGGGACCTTCTGCAGGTCTCCAAGCTTTTAAATTAACTTCTTTCAGACGTCTACATACCGTCTGCTTAGTTACTGTAACATCACGAATTTGGCGAAGATCTTGCTGAACATCTACCGCAGTATTTGATCGATTCCGTAAAATCTCTTAGAGACGTTTTTCGGGGGCGACCAGAACCGACCCTTCGAGCGGTGCTTCCTGTTTGTTCGTACTTGCGGATGCTCTACGAGCAGTTGGTTAATGAACTTCCACTGCACGTGCGGCGTAACATTTACTACACGCCCATCGTTCACTAACGCAACTAATCTTGCTACTTGTTCAGGATTTATTTGAGGCATTTTATGTAATTTCAGTCAATAAAACAAGACACTTAATTAATGACACAACGACAAATGGTCAAATATGGAGGCATACAACAAATTAGTTGCTATGGCAGAGGCATTTGTTTTTTTAAAGACAATGTGATCCTACCAGAGTACAACCCAATAAATTTTGAGTACTCTGTTCCTTCAATAAATTCAATTTGTGGGATAAGCGTAAGGTATCAGCAAAAAAGCTGTAATTCGGAGAATTTTAGAGATAAATCAATGAATAAAAAAACAAAATGCTCGCAAAAGAATCCTCTCTCGTATAGGGTGCAAGCACTTTGTATACCATTACTCAATTAACACACAGGGTGAGTCAAAAATTGAGAATAAATCATAGTTCGAGTTATTCCACCACCATCAAGGAGGCCTTGAAAAATTGTTCACCTCTTCATTTGTTTTAAAGACAAATGCATGACCTACTAACAAATTGAAAAAAATGGGCCTACTATTTTTTTTTGTTTTTAAGAAGATAAGTCGAATATCAAGTGCGTCACTTTTTTTGGAACTGAGTGTATTTGTAACCATATCAAATATGTACTTGAGAATAATGTGAAAATTTTCGTCTATCAAATTCACGAAACCACAGAAAACAGATTGAATTCTGTGTTCCAAACATGACACGTAAACACGGTATGACACGCTCGAAAAAAGGTTTACGAAGGAAAATGCGATACCCTGTGTATTTCTTACCTTCTTCAGTTCTTCGGCCGCCCATTCCATCATTCGGCGCACTTCACCGCGCTTGTGGGCCCAAGCAGAGACGGACTGGATGGCGACGGCATCGCGAAGGTGCTCGATGTAGGCCTTCTTGTTGTCATCGATGTGCCTAATGAAGAATTTAAATATCCTCGAATCTTTTTTCACAAGCTGGTGTATAAATAATTGGTTGGTAGTGAATTCGAAAAAAACAGTTTTAATGCAGTTCTACTCCAAAGCTACAAAAAAAATTGATAATTTCAACGTGAGAGTAGGCGATGAGACAATTGAATCATCAAATAAAGTGAAATTTCTAGGTACCTACATCGATAGTAACATGACCTGGGAGTCGACTATGAATCAAGTTACCAAGAAAGTAAACACTGGATATTATGCATTAGACAGTTGAAGTCAACATTCAGTAAGGCCCAGCTCTTGAATGTATATTTTGCAATTGTATACTCCCATATTTCTTACAACATTGCTGTGTGGGGCTGTTACACAAAACTAAATAAAATATTCATTTCTCAGAAAATAAAATCATGTGCGTTTCATGCATTTATATATACAAATGCATTTTATTATTCAAAACAAATATCCATGACTACAACCGAAATTGTGACTTTCATGCATACGCTACCAGGCATGGTGAACTGATACGGCTCCAAAAACATTCAATTCGTCTCTATGAGAACTGTCCGTCATATTTCAGGCCAATCTCGTTGTTGTCCACAATTTCGAAGATAATAGAAAAATTAGTGAAGAAAAATTAGTGAAGAAAAGATTGTTGAAATTTTTAACAAATGAAAATATAATAAATGAATGTCAATTTGGGTTTCAAACTTCCAAAAATACTAATGACGCAATCTTCTCATTTTTGGAACAAGCATACATGAGTTTGAATGAAGGTGAAGCTATTGCAGCAGTATTCTGTGATTTTTCAAAGGCATTTGATTGTGTTAATCATGGAATACTGCTGCAAAAAATGCATCGCTAGGAATAAGAGGAGCAAATCTCGAGTGGTTCAGGTCATACCTTGATAATAGATCACAAATAGTAAAAATAAACAATGTGTGTTCTGACATTAAGGCTACACATTGCGGAGTACCTCAGGGATCTGTTTTAGGACCTATTTTGTTTTTACTGTATATTAACGATCTCACTACAATAAATATCAACGGATCCTTCACAATTTTTGCAGACGATACCACTTTATTATGGCATGGAAAAAACACTGAAATTTTGAAACAATTGGTCTCTTCAGATTTATCCAAGGTTAAACAATGGTGTGACTCAAACTTTCTCTGTTTCAATGTGGATAAGACGAAAATTGTAAACTTTAAATTCAGCTATGATAACTTGCAACTGGATGGTATCAATATCGCAGAAACACACTGTACTAGGTTTCTTGGATTGCATATTGATAATAAGTTGAAATTCAATGAACATATTACATCATTATGTAAGAAGTTAGCCTCTGGATCATATGCTGTAAGAGTTGTCGCAAATGAACTCGACATATCCACAGCCAGATCGACTTACTTTGCCCTAGTAGAATCCCATCTACGATATGGCATTGCGTTTTGGGGATTTTGTAATCAAGAACTCCTTAATCAGGTATTCATACTACAAAAGAGATCTCTTAGATATTTGTGTAGAGCTAACTACAGAGATAGCTGTAGACATCTCTTTGTACAACAGAGGATTCTCACTGTAGTGAGCATTTTTATTCTGGAAGTGGTGTGCCTGATTCACAAGAGATGCGCTACTGATACTCGTGAAGATAGATCTTACAATACCAGACAGAGTAGGAATCATAATATTCGTTTGCCAATACCTAAACTGAATTTAACAAAACACTCTATTATGTATGAAGGGAAGAAAATATTCAATAACCTACCACAGCTAACCAAGATTATAGTGGATCATAAAATTTTCCGAAAATCGGTTAAAAATCTGCTTCTTGGGAAAGCATACTATAGCCTGCAGGAATATTATGTTGACATGCTTCATAGGCCGTAAAATGATGTTGCATATTATTATTCTTATTGTTATTATTAGTTTCTTCAGTGCACTTGCAAGTAGATTAACATGTTGTTATGTGCTTGCTGAGATGTTTATATATATATATATATATATATAGAAGGGAAGTCGTTGCTGACCAGTAGGAAGAAAACTAATGTATTGGGGAATGCAGCAAGTAAAAGCGAAACTCTTTAAAGTTTATCCAAGCTTTCGGAAATGTTTATTTCCTTCTTCAGGGATGCTACAATGATATATCATATTAATGTGCACAAAAATAGATAATATAAATATACATACATCTTTGTTGAGATTAATTACATGGATGTTATAAGATGATAGACATATCATTACACATGGTGCCATCAGTAGGAATAAAAATCTCCACAATAGTCAAGGCAATAAAAAAGGCAAAATACTGACATTTAGAAATTTGTAAAAAGACCAGACGAAATAATTAACATTTTAAAAAATTATTCACATCCATGCTGGAAAACCACGGATGGAAAGTCAGGTTAGGACCAACATAACCTAATCTTCTCTGTCAATTCCAAAACAAAATCACTCAGAGTGCTGTGTGCACTGGATGTACGTTTAGGTTGGAACAAAGGTGGATAGATGTTGGAACAGACAAATTCTGGTATTGAAAAAGAAGAAGAAGTCTTGACTGTCATCTGAAAAATCTGAACATTGGAAAATGGAGAAAACAGATAATATTCATGTCGAAGTTTTAATATCCATTGCAAGTAAATTATGCTTAGATGATTTATGTCAGTTCTTTTATTTATGCAGTTGTTTTCCTGGGAGATGAAAGCCATTTCAAGAAAAGTTCGTTTTTTGGAATTTTGTTCAGTTGCCAGAATTTTTGCTGACTGGAAATCCATTTGATGGTCATATTGATTAACATGTTCAGCCAGTGCACAACGTTCAGGATGCAACCTACAGTCACTTTTGTGAGATGTGATTCTATTCGCTAGAGACCTTTTGGACTGTCCGATATATTGCAAGTTACAATCTCTACAAGGAATGCTGTAAACTACATTCGAGCGTGATGTTAGTGGGACTTTATCTTTGACTTTTGAAACTTTCTAAGATTTTTGAGGATCATCCTAACATCAAAATCGCTAATAGAACAGTTTTGCCACTTAAATCGTTGTTTTCAAAAGTCCCACTAACATCACGCTCGAATGTAGTTTACAGCATTCCTTGTAGAGATTGTAACTTGCAATATATCGGACAGTCCAAAAGGTCTCTAGCGAATAGAATCACATCTCACAAAAGTGACTGTAGGTTGCATCCTGAACGTTGTGCACTGGCTGAACATGTTAATCAATATGACCATCAAATGGATTTCCAGTCAGCAAAAATTCTGGCAACTGAACAAAATTCCAAAAAACGAACTTTTCTTGAAATGGCTTTCATCTCCCAGGAAAACAACTGCATAAATAAAAGAACTGACATAAATCATCTAAGCATAATTTATTCACACTTACTTGCAATGGATATTAAAACTTCGACATGAATATTATCTGTTTTCTCCATTTTCCAATGTTCAGATTTTTCAGATGACAGTCAAGACTTCTTCTTCTTTTTCAATACCAGAATTTGTCTGTTCCAACATCTATCCACCTTTGTTCCAACCTAAACGTACATCCAGTGCACACAGCACTCTGAGTGATTTTGTTTTGGAATTGACAGAGAAGATTAGGTTATGTTGGTCCTAACCTGACTTTCCATCCGTGGTTTTCCAGCATGGATGTGAATAATTTTTTAAAATGTTAATTATTTCGTCTGGTCTTTTTACAAATTTCTAAATGTCAGTATTTTGCCTTTTTTATTGCCTTGACTATTGTGGAGATTTTTATTCCTACTGATGGCACCATGTGTAATGATATGTCTATCATCTTATAACATCCATGTAATTAATCTCAACAAAGATGTATGTATATTTATATTATCTATTTTTGTGCACATTAATATGATATATCATTGTAGCATCCCTGAAGAAGGAAATAAACATTTCCGAAAGCTTGGATAAACTTTAAAGAGTTTCGCTTTTACTTGCTGCATTCCCCAATACATTAGTTTTCTATATATATATATATATATATATATTGTGATTCAATTGCATTTATATTATGCAAAGATATTATGTTTCTTTTTTTATTATTGTTAATATTTCCTGTCTTTCATTCATTTCATTCTTTATTTTGACTGTATGTATTGTATTTACACCTATCTGTTTTATATTCAATATTATATGACCAAATTTATATTTATATTTTATAACTTACTTTGTCAATAAGAATCTTCTTGGACAATAAAGTATATATCTATCTATCTATCTATGTGGGAGCAAAATCGTTCAATCATCTTCCGGATGATATAAAAAACCGAAGTAGTCAAAATATTTTCAAGGCAGAACTGAAAGAATTTCTGATTAAAGGTTGTTCCTACATTACTGATGAGTATCTCAGTCATTAGGACCAATTTCTTCATTTTATTTATATTCATCTTATATCTACTTTTGGTGTATAACTGTAATATTACTAATTTATGTTCAAAATGTTTGTGTATCATCTGTTGTCTGACGTATCCTATATCATTTTTTGTGATCATGAAGGATTCAATAAATTTATTTATTTATTATTATAGTCTATACAGGGTAACTCACGGTCGATGGTACGTTAGACGTTTATGGAGAACGCAACGCAGGATTTTTCTGAAAATTTCGCATCTTACATTTCATCACCTGTTCTATCGATCTAAAATATTTTCCAAATTGCGACGTTGCCGTTTCTATCAAAAAGTCCTAGCAACTTCATTTTTTTAAATGGAACACCCCGTATATTAACAAATTTTTAGAATTGCCTTTTATTTTCAATACTCTTTTGTTAATAAATCCCTATACCTATCTCTATCGGTCTATAATTTGTGTTAAATATGATCCAAAACATATCCCTAATTGAACTTATGTAAATCAGGGCTCTCGAATCATAAATAGTTGATATTTCAGTGGTGGTTTGGACAGGCTTGATGTATTCAATTTACACCGAGAAGTCGCCTCCATATCATACAGGGCGTGCTGAAATTATTATTATATCCGTT